AACACCCTCAAGCAGACAGCACTGGCTTTGTGCTACTCCACTGCTGAGTACTGCGCCGCAGTATGGGAGAGGTCACCCCACGCTTCCAAGGTTGATGTGGAGCTGAATAGAGCCTGCCGCTTAATCACCGGTAACCTGATGGCTACCCCCCTGTCAGCACTGCACACACTGGCAAGTATCTGCCCACCTGGCATCCGACGAGATGTCCAGACAAGAACAGAGCGAGAAAAGCAGCTCAGTGATCCTAGGCACCCGTTATACGGACACCAGGAGGTCCCCCGACGTCTGAAATCCCGCCGCAGCTTCATGACGGCCCGACGCCTCGGGGGTATGACACCAGCGACCCTCAGGGTAGAGCTGTGGAAGGAGAGTCACCCAAGTAACAACAGGGCACTCCCTCCCCCCAGCGAGACACTGCCCCCAGGGACAGACTTGCGCAGAAGGGACTGGGTGGCCCTGAACCGGGCAAGGGCTAAGGTGGCCAGGACAGGGGACAACCTGGCACGCTGGGGCAAGTCCACCAGTACAACCTGCAGCTGCGGAGAGGACCCTCAGACCATCCAGCACCTGATGCACGGCTGCAGGCTTGGTCCTACCTGCACAGACACAGATCTCCAGGAGGCCAATGAAGCAGCGCGGAACTGGCTGGAGTGGATTGGCGATAAGCTATGATGATGATGATGATTACCTTAACACGGTAATCCCACGGTCTCACAGCGCCACCTAGCGTTATCAACCAGAATTGCAACTCGTACTTCCAGGCTCGTACTTCAGTATGTAAGGTAGAAGTGCACAGTGCTTGCCGCTCGTATGCGGCCTTTCTCGCCTTTTTCTTCCCAAAATTAACGGCAAATATTTCCTTAGGCCTGTTCCTTGAAACTTTGATTTAAAGGTTCTAATCTGATTTAAAAAAACTCCCCCAACCCCAAATATTGCCTTAACCTTAAGACTCCTTTCTCTGATAAGCAAGGTCTCAGCAGAAAATTGCCCCTCCCATCCAAGTATTGCCTTAAACCTCCAGTTTATGGAGACACTTAGGAAGAAAAGTTATAATCAAATAATTCCCCCGTAAACATAACCTTGTATCTTCCATATCTCGACTCTTAAGGGTTCTAAGAAATTGCCCCCTTAAGTATCGGCCCCAAAACATTGCGTTAAAGTCTTGAATCCTCAATACGTTTCTTTAAAAAGCTCTAAAATAAATGTCCCTCCGCCAAATATTGCCTGAAAACACCTGAGACTTCCTAACGGTGAAGATAACCCCATACCCATAAACATTACCTTAACACGGTAATCCGACGGTCTCACAGCGCCACCTAGCGTTATCAACCAGAATTGCAACTCGTACTTCCAGGTTCGTACTTCATTATGTAAGGTAGAAGTGCACAGTGCTTGCCGCTCGTATGCGGCATTTCTCGCCTTTTTCTTCCCAAAATTAACGGCAAATATTTCCTTAGGCCTGTTTCTTGAAACTTTGATTTAAAGGTTCTAATCTGATTTAAAAAACTCCCCCAACCCCAAATATTGCCTTAACCTTAAGACTCCTTTCTCTGATAAGCAAGGTCTCAGCAGAAAATTGCCCCTCCCATCCAAGTATTGCCTTAAACCTCCAGTTTATGGAGACGCTTAGGAAGAAAAGTTATAATCAGATAATTCTCCCCCGTAATAATTTCCCCCGTAATATTGCCTTAAAACCTCCATATCTCAACTGTGATAGGGTCAATAACCCTCCTTAAATATTGCCTTTAAGTTAACACTTCCATATCTCAACTATGATAGGTTCTATAAGTAGATATTTTCCCCTTAAATATCGCCTTAACACTCTGTCTAGACTGATAATTTCCGAGATTATTTCCCCCTTAAATGTCGCCTTAAATTAAAACCGTTTCTCCACTATGATAGGTTCTAACCAGATAATTCCCCCCTTAAATATTGCCTTAAAATTTCTTTTCCTTGAAACGCTGATAAATCCATCCAATGAGCTTTCATCACAATGCCTTGTGATGAAAGCTCCTTGATCCATCAGAATATCAAAACTGCAACACGTACGTAGTATACAAGTTAGAAGTGTAGAGTGCTTGCCGCTCGTATGTGGCATATTGCTTCCCAAAATAAACGGCTTGTGACCGTCAAAACACTCCCAGCAAGTCTGTAGTTGATTTGCAGGAAAAAAAATGTAAAAAAGCTTCATTTGTAAATAGAATATCCCCTCTCTAAGCCTGCCTTTCCTTCACGGTCTCCAGTGCAGTTCAGTCAACTTAAGGTCTTCCGACGGTCTCACAGCGCCACCTAGCGATAGTTGTGAGTTGTTAAGATGTACTTAGGTATGCAAAGCAGAAGTGTGCAATGTTTGCCGCTCGTATGCTGCATTTTCCTGCAGTTTACTTCCCAGAATTAACGGTTTCAAAACATGCACCAGAACAAATTCTGTTACCCCCTGACAGTGGTCAACGTACCGATAATGGACAAAGATGTATGTTACCATGCCGGGACGTGGATGACAGATAAACATGAAGAGAGGAGACAAGACAGGGCTGTGATTTATTGGGTATTTACAGAGTATAATTTCCTTGGTCTTTCACTATGACGCAGTGATGTATTTCATTCCTTTTATATGTGATGGTGGCTCTGTTTATGTGATATTCCTACTAAATCAAAACATTTGTACAGTGATTGAAAATTTTTTAAAGTTGTTTCAGTGACAAATGGGTATTCTAATAGTTGGCAGTAAGCTTAGTACAATACAGGTATCATTTCTTGTTTAACAAGGTTTATGATGTCAAAATTTGAAATTGTAAGAATCTTGTTTTTTTTTGGGGGGGGGGGGCGCCTTGTTTTGTTTTCGCCCTAGGCCTATCGCATTAGATTTGGAGTCTGCGGAGGATATCATCCATAAAATTTCATCTAGTGTAGGAAGTGTCTAGTGTAGGAAGGACGGATGTCTCCTTGCCCGGAGGTAAAGAACAGATTGAACCATTCGAAATTCAGCGCAAGGATTTCCCATCGAGTCCTCGAAGGTAAAAAGAAAACAGATTGAACCAATCTCCTTCACCGGAGGTGAAAATGAAAATGAGACACGTACCCCAGGGACCAAGGAGACCATGGCGGTCACGTCGGTGAAACCCCAGCCGGCCGTGCCAGCGGTGCCCCCAGGCTCGGTGCCCCCACCCTCGCCTTCCACCGCCGCGGAACAAACCGGCACACCACGGTGAGCCACAGACCAGCAGGAGGACGAACGAGAATCCACCTAGCTTCATCTTAGGTATGCTGCAATAAACGGGCAGGACAAGACAGTTAGAGGTAGCAGACTGCATTGTGTGCCATGCGCCAATGAATGTTCCCGTCCCACATAAATAGTACCGTGGCCGACACGTACAAACCTGCGTCGTCTGCGCAGAGAAAAAGCTGCGCCCTATCTGATCGCAGGTGGTTCAATAAGGTTTACCTGAGATCTCCTAGAGGAAAATGAACCTATGTTATGCTGCGTGCATTGTCGCAGCTGGATTGATAGATTTTTCTCTCTTTCGATCCTTCCAATAGAATAGACTTTGATCCTCACAAGAGCGGCCATGGGGTGTTTGGAAATGTTGAAGATGTTGAATGTGGGGCGCAAAAACGACTAGTTGGACACAGATAATGTATCAATTTGACATAGAAAATTATCTCTACGAAATGAAAGCAAGAACTTTCGAGCACTTTCAGAAGATTTATTTTACCGATCAAAACACTTCTGGCGTACATGTACATGTATATGTCATATTTTGGTCAGTAAAGTCACAATCATGAATGCATCTATCTTGTTTCCGAGTCAAAAATATTGAATACAGAGCGAGCAGCAGCAGAAAATCTCACAAAAGATTGTGCCTAAAAACGAAGAGACAAACTATAATCTACTATTGCTTACCTGTTCACGAGGCCGGCCCTTGACAGACGATCTCGAGAAAACACAACTATCTGCCAGTCGCGCCCAGACCTATCTGCTTTAAAATTTATATAATGCCTATAGGCCAGTGTACATACGCGACGTCATATGTCAGACTGTGCGCAAAGAACGAATGAGACTGAAAATCCCATTGCATAATCGTATAATCCAACAGCGGGTCGGAATCGAAAGGAAAAAAAGTTGATTAGTCTGTTGCGGAGGAGTCGAGACGGTTGAAACCTACGTGTTAACCTTTCACGTTCGAACGTTCCTGGAATTGGAACTTGCGACGACTTGTCACTTCTCAAATTGTAAAACCAAGCAAAGGGCTCAGACCTGAAATAGAAAATTAGTCTCCTAGGATTTGAAATTGAAGCTTTGCCTGCTGAGATTTGAAATAAAAAATTAGTCTTCTAAGATTTGAAATACAACGTAGAAACTTTGCCTGTTAAGTTTTATAATTAAAACTTTGCCTGCTAAGATTTGAAATAGAAAATTAGTCTTCTAAGATTTGCAATAGAAAATTAGTCTGCTGCGTTTATGTTTTTCACAAGAACAAGTCCGTCTGGCAGAAGCTAAGACTAAAATACAAAATAAACATTAAAATATGCGGTTATGTGACATGGGCGTTCATGTTATGCAAGGATTGATTGTCGACAGAGGCGTAGCCTCTACCAGGCTACCCCAAGGTGCTGAAAAACAGCAAATTGGCCAAATAGGCTTAAAGCTGCATTCTATAACATTAGGACAATACAAGAAGTAAATTCTCTGGTCATTTCTTTACTGTACTACGTAGTAAGGAAGTGGAGAGGCCAAAATACAAATGTATGAAGCCTTGTGTGTTTAAAAGCTGCAAAAGCTCGTCAGCAATGTTTGGTTACATTCGGAAACCAAGGCAAGTGACAGAAAATGTACTCTCCAAGCAGGGGTTTGAGTTTTGGGTTATTTTTTGGCGTATTTAGTCTTTTTAACGGGGTTTCTTTTATGCACTAGATTTTTTTTCACCCAACCCACACCAAACCTCTGCTTGGAGAGTACAGAAATTGAACTAAAAGATACACCAGTGGTATTTTTTTCACCTCAGTAAAAAGACATTTATTTTGTAACCAAAAGAGATATTATAAAATACACGGGTTGCGCACTATATGCAAAATACCATACCGCACATACAAGTCATACTATACTCTACCCTCCCTTATTTGGACACCTACTTAACTAGATTACTAATTTCATCACTCTCAGCACTAATAGGAATAATTTATCCCTAAATCACAGACTGTACACGATTGGCCATTGGTTAAACTACATGTACATATGTGGAGATAAAGGTTGAGTTATTCATAAATATACTTTTATTACACTTTCGTACCTTAGCTTATAATGTGATTGTTATGCCACAAAAATAAAAGTTTTATAGTCTTTCTGTTTCTTATTATTTAACTAGAAATCACACAGTAGCATCACAGAGTGAAATGAACGAGTCTAACTATAGGGATATCAATGTATAGGGACAGTTTCAGAAGTTTGAATACTCTGAACAAACCAGTGCTAATAAATCACAGAACAGCAATACAATGAGCCAAAAGGAATTTTGCCTACAAAGTTTGCTATTCACTATACACTCGGACTAATATAAAGATAATAGGGTTCTATAATGCATACTGAAAAGTCAGACTCCACAAGTTATTGAAAATATTCTTGCTACACACCATCCTCAAACACATACACTGCACAGGGTGGACAAAAATTGGGATTGAATCAAGGATCCGAAACTAACTGTACGAATTCAAAATTAGGTCTTTACAAATTTCACTCTTTGTACAAGGCAGTTACATACATGGTTATCATCATCATCCTCTACCATTAATATGTGGACGTACGGAATAACCTATTGTCATTTACCTACTTGGTTCAAATAGGCCTCCTCTGTGAGTGTAAGTTCACCAACAGGTTGGGATTCTGCTTGGCAACGGAAGCACAGCCCCGCCTAGTAACGGCCTATAGTAACCTCTGCTAAAGCACGTTCATTGGTCAATTGATATCCAGTGATTTGTACATACAGGAGGCCTTGACATGATTCTGTACCTTACCAGCACCTGGTCACAGCTTTTTTGTCTTTGCCGTACAAAAAAGAGCAAAAGAGAGAGAGAACTTTTCAAGCTGCCTTATTCCGCCTCCAAGACGTCCATCCAATTACATATTACTTATGCCTCTATCGTTAAAAGATCTGCAATTTAACTCTGCCTGATGATCGGACAGCACAGCATCATCATTGATCTCTCAGGCTAATGTTGTGAGAAAAATGATCCTGCCAATATGTAACTAAGAATTACCAGAATTAATCATCTGTAGATCTGATATTTACATTGTCAATTACACATCTGCTTTGCCTGGCAGTGATTTTCCCTGTAAGGCTTCTAACTAAAATTAGCGGAATCCAAATCCTCAGGATGTGCCATATATGCAGCATCAACTCATCACATCCAGTGGACTAAGCTAGCTCACTCCTTGTATTTAATTACACATACATGTACACACTCAGTAGCCATCCTCTGCCATATGCTATGTACACTATATACACAGGTAATAAAAAAATGGCTCCGCCAAAAACACGATGGCGTCTTTCCAGAGTAAAAGAAATCGTGACTATCCAGTAGACAGGATTGAAGATGTAGCCAGAGGCTATATTATGTATGTCTTATGTCTCACACTCTACTTACAGGGTGGCTCGAGTATTGCAGCATTTCAGGTCCACTCATCCCCCCTTCTCGTATACATGATTGTTTCGTGGTGAATGCTATTGGCCACAGCCACTATATAAAAAGTCTGATCAGTATAGGATTACAATCATGATCTTAACACAGACCAGGAAACAATGGGATGTATGGGGAAAATGTTGTCACTCCATCAGCCTTTTTACCAACCGACCAAGTCAGCCTTGACAGTGAACCAGACACTAAACTGACTGACCAAGTTTTGCACCCTTGTTCGGTTATTTGCGGGAGGGAGGGGGGCAGGGTGTCGTGTTTAGTTCATCCATTTGCGACAGTTGGGAGCTCCACAGCAGCAGGGGATCTTCTGTTCATCATCCTCAATGTCAAACTTGTAATCATAGGTCAGCTGAAATGGGCAGAAAGACACAACATTATCAACAACTTCTCTCTGACATGCAACATTAATTCTCCTAACTCTGTCAAGTACCTGTAGACTGCCACATTTAAATAATAATGGTGAATTTAAAGAGATGTACACTGATAGAAGAATATGAGAAGTTACGTGCCTAGAATGAGATTTTTTCTTAAATCAGTAAAATTAGAGTTGGCAAATACGAGAACCAAGAAATTAAACTGGCCTGGCCTTATGGCATGGCTGTACCCTAAAAATACATCTCCAAACAGAACACAGATTAGTCTGAACTGAAACTGGATTGAATTGGTCTCAAACAAAAACGTTTACTCTAATCAGTTGTCATATTAGTCTGTCCTGGAAGATTAGAATTGCACCAAAATGTATACCAATATGTCATCTCATACATAATACATGTATGTAAGGCAGAAGAGCTCCTTTTGAGTGTAACAATTTGAGCTTAGTTTAACGTCAACTCTAAGAATTCCACTGGGTACACTGACAGGCTTGAGTCATAACACTTGACTAAAAAAAGGACAATTTAAAAAGACCTACTATTGCAGCATTCTTGATAACACTGTGAGAGTGCAAGGGTACCCAGTGGAATCAGTTGTTGACATTACAATAGGACAGCACGTTGACAGAATGTACTGCCTGCATGAAACCCTGATTTTTTTAGGTATTTCATTCAATGTTTGGTCAACATTGCATCAGAATTTTTCCCGTTGCTTTTTCAAACACAACATTTGGTAACTACTGTTGGGAAATAGAACTTATATACTCGAATACGACTTTATATGAGATGTTCAGCCAAAGTGCTATGCACAATACACTACAGGTTTTGCAGGTGCATTACATGTACGTTCTGCTGATGTTCTCAACAGGAAGACATGAGTCTGAGTCTGTGGGCTTACCTCCTCTCCTTTGCTGAGACGACGTGATGAGATGATGATGATCTTCTGTTCCTTCTCAAAGTTCACCACCTCAGCAACACAGTTAGGGTTACACGAATGGTTGATGTACCTGTTGGGCAAAAAAATGAAGTTCAAAACAAGCCATTCATCTGTTTTGTTTTCATTTGGTATGTTTTTCCAGTTAAGAATATTTCTAAAATCAAAGAAGCAAGAAATCAAATTGGTATGGCCAACTTCAAATAACAAACAATTAACAAATCATCCTAGCATTCAAACATTCTGGGTTCATCTCCCTGGCAGGCCCCACTGTTCAATCCTTGGGAGAGACACTTAACACATACATTTGTATTTACTCACTCAACTCAGCTGAACAATATTTATTGTGTACACAGCTTCAGCTGACGTTAAGTTACACCTCAAACACATTAAAGATCTCACCACACCTATCAAAAAGAGTAGAGGTTCTTCCCTGTGTGTGGATCAAACCATACTGTCCAGTCTTACACAGGTTGTACTGTATAAAACTGGTTTGTTAAGCCTAAAGGCAGTTTGCCAGTTATGCAAAACAAACAAACAAAAGACCTGGCAGGTCCTCCGGCCAGTGTGGCATCGATGACGAGTTCGGAGTCGATACGGAACATGTAGACGCCACGGTTCTGGTCCTCGTAGATCCTCTCCCTCTTGTTGCACACCTCGTTCCTGATGATCACTCCGATGTACTCAATCACCATCACGTGCTTGTCAATGTCCCTGGCAGCAAACAGGCCAAGACCCTGCAACATGTGGACAATCATAAGAAAATTCAAATCCAAAAAGGTTGCCCCTATACTCTATACAGTCACATGCAAAAATGGCCACACTCCTGCCCATCATACACCTCTCTTAAACTTTGACCTCTCAGCATGATGGGAAACAAAATGGGGGCGCCCATGGACGCTAACTAAAATAGAACTACCCAAGAAGAGTAGGAGACTGATAAACCATGGTTCTCAGACATTTCTTCACAAAAATTTTGCAAGAGAGGAGCATAAAAACAGACTGCAGGAAGGAAAATTTGAAGCTGACAACATTCACTCTCTACCATGGTACTATCTATACCAAGGTACAGACTTTCCCCTCAGTCCCGCGTTATGTTTTTTACATCCGAGAAACCATAAACTGAATTGTTGAACACTATGGCACAGGGTTAAACAACATATCCATGGCAACAGTTTGTTTACCTGTATTCTCGAGCGCCCCAGTACGACGTTGTTGCGCCACTCCTGTTTGAGTTTGCGGTACTGCGCTGACTTGGACTGAGCAAACTGTTTGTGATAGGGTGACAGGAGTTCCCCAGTCAGCGTAGTCTGGCTGGACCGGGAAGTGTTGCTACTGGTCAGAGTATGAGGCCTTGGGGAACACATTGTATTTTACATTAGTATGCAGGTACATAAACAGGCTGACATGTATATTGTTGAAAAATTCATTGTTGAACCTAATCTACATGTAGTTGTTATTAGCTCTTGTTGCTATGAAGTTGTGTGTTGTAAATTCTTTGCTTTGGATGTGTACAACTGCACACAAAAACCCTCTCAAACAACATGGAACAACCAGTGGGGTATGACTATGAGAACAGTACACAAGATCGTACCTTCTGATGTAAGTGCGCATCTTGGGTTCGGAGCGTGCACAGCCCGTTGGGTTGATGGCCAGTGGCAGCTCGATCAGCGGATGGCGGCCGTAGCGGAAAAAGTAGTCCTGCAGCATCTCAGTACCAGGAAGCTGGGGAAGAAACAACATGGTTATTACATTGCCAAGAGGGTTAACATGAATTTTGTAAGAGTGTGAACAGCGTAACTCAAGAGGGAATGGATGGGTTGTCCAGTTTTCGTATCTCGTGCATTGAAAATGCTATGGTCACGCTTTTTGAGTGGTAGAGAGCCCTTGTCCTTGGAAAGAGTGTCATATGTTTAGGCCCTCTGGCAGCTAGTTATGGAACTGCAGCAGAACTTCTGGTTTTGTACATGTATCTCATGTTTTAGTCATGTGCCATGGTCACAATTTTTGGATGACAGACACAAATGTAGCTCTTGTGCTTGGGAACAAGTGGCACTAGTTTAGGCCCTCTAGCAGCTTTCTTTGGAACTGATCTAAGAAGACACCGCTGCGACAACGTACCGACTCCACGATCCTCAGCACAGCTGGCTCGGTCAGCCCGAAGAGGTCCTCGCCCGTGATGAAGTTGGGGAACAGCTTCAGCACGTCTGACCCGCGCCGCATCTTCTCAATGGGCTCCAGGATGTTCAACCACACCACTGCACATACAACACACATACATTGTAAATCACTGTAAAATTTCATACACATCGCTAGTAAGACCACACCTAGAATATGCCCCAAACAGTATGGGATCCATATACAAAGGAAGACAATGGAAAAAATGAACTGGAATGGATGCAGAACCAAGCTGTAAAAGGGGTGCTTTAAGACATAAGAAAGACATAAGAGTTGTCGATGTACCAGCTACTACATGTATCTAATAGTAATACCCTAACAAAGTACCAGAGTTACCAACCAAGGATTGAGGTGCTCAAAAACTCATTTTTTGTAGACAAGTGTACTATCATACAGTACACGAATGCTTGGACTTGAGCCACTGATGAACGTAGTGTAGAACTCATTGTCAACAAGTACAGAAGAGTATCTCTGTGAAGATAACTTTAACTTAAGCTGCAGCTTGATGTGCAACGGTTAAGGATGACAGGTCGTTCTGCATAATATAACCAGCCGCCACACTGTGTTCCTTCAACGCCAATGTGTTAAACAGTATTCAGAAATACCAGCTAAAAGTATACAGATACAGATACATGGTCCATGAATGAAAATGACTAATAAATGGCATGTGTTTAGATCCTTACATTTGGGAGTGGCCCCCTTGAAGACAACATCCTCGTGCCCCTGTTCGATGACACGGATGACGAGCTGTGGCCGTCCCTGGTTCTCCTCCACACGACACACGTACCGGCATCGCTTGTTGGCGTAGCGCATGCTCCAGTACAAGCGAGTCACCTCAAAACCAATCTGGAAGTACAGGGTTTCAGGCTTTAGTCAATGATCTACTAAGGCTGGGGCCATGGTGTGTCAAATGAGGTAGGGAATTTTCTGAGCAGCCAACTGCTTCTCCTATTGACTCTCACTCTCAGTGAGTTGAGCTTGTCTTATTTATTATACTCTCTTAACATTGATGTTTCTGACTTGAAAGACATAACCTTGTAGACAATCAGACATGTATGTGGCAGCTCCAGTGCTTCACTATTAAAATCACAGAATCCATAAATCACAAAAAATGTTGGGTCTTTCGTCTTCCACTTCTTCCAAAAAAAGAAGCCAAACCCAACAAATTTTTACTTAGAACATAAGGCTAACGAATGTCAACTGAAATCAGAGTATTCACACAATCATGTCCTAATTTTGTAATTGTTTGTACCTTCAGTTGTTACTTGTTATTAGTCTTCAGGCAAGAATTTGTGATAAACTTCATTTATCATAAAAATTGGTTCTCTAATATTTCTATGTAAAACGTGAGAAACAAAGAGGTTGCGTTGTTGTATTACCGGGTAGATGGCAGTCCTGGTGTGGAAGGCCTGGAGTTGATGGGGAAGAAGCTGCCCCACGTTGTGGAAAATCAGGCTTCCTACTCGGAGGGTGTACTTCTTCTCACCGTAGTTACGCATGATCCTGCCAACAACATATTGTTGTTTATTGCTTATTTCATTGCTTTATTACTTTTGTTCACAATAAAGAATACAGACAAAGCACAAGGGAGGCCGAAAGTAAATTAATTGAAGAAAAGAATAACATCATAATCACACATTATAAAGAATTGGCCGAACAGTAATAATATTATTATTACAACTTTCAAAAAGGACATGCTTAGGCAAGTCCCTTAATGCTTATATGTATGTACATGGGTAAAAAAATCTGGAGCAAGGAAAAGTGGTCATTATAGCCTGATGGCTGCTTATAGAGTGGTCGCTTGGGCAAGTTTGACAACAGTATATTCAAAGTGCCCCAGATGTATTGTGCAAGCACATCTAACCCTCGGAAGACGGGGAACAACAGACGATAAACCGGACAGTGAGTGAGTGTGAGTGTTCTGCACCACTAACAACTGTAGTAACAGACAGGGAGGTACTGACTTGGCAATCTGCTTGCTCTCATCCCGGTTGACATACACCCTGCGGAAGACTGACAGGCTGACCAGCTCATTCTCATGTTTGTTTGGAGCATGGACAGGACACATGACCGTCTGGAGGGGGGAGGGAAGTTATGATAAAACATGATGTATGCTTAGTACACTTTCTTCTACATGTCCAGCAAGCCTTATAAACACACAAGAAACACTCAGATAATTTTCAGCAAAGTCAACATTTTTCAGCCCTGACTAGTGAAAAATTGCAGTACGTACATGTAGCGTAACATTACATTAGAAGGAAACTTCAGGTGTACCATCTATACATGTAGTGATTTGTAAGACACAAGGTACCTTGGTCAAACCTGTGACTATGACTATGAGGTATCATATGAAAGATCAGACTATTTGAGATCAGAATCCTTACTGTTGTGACTGTACCCAGGGAGTACAATGTACATAAAACTTAAGATTGATTTGTTCTTAGACAAGAAAATCAAACCACAACAAGCCTTTCCTAACTGCAACGAGATTTACCTCGCCTGTAGTGAGGCATTCTGTATAGCTTTGTTTGTGTTTTTCTCTGTTTTGTTTGTAATGTTAATTCTGATTTGCCATGTAATGATTGTACACATCAGTGTTATTCTGCTTGTTGTACATGCTGCAAGGCTGATTTTCTGAATAAACTGTACTGTTGTGGCTGTACCCTGGTGACCTTACCTTGTCCTTGAAGAACATGCAGTTCTCCTTGATGGCACAGATGAGATGGTAGATCCTCTTGCAGTTGTAGCGATGGCACGTGATGGTGGCCCCGATTTTGTTACACGCCGTGCAGGCCAGGGTCTGGCCGCGCTTGTACGCCATCTCCACGTTGATGAGCGCGCCGTTGAGCGTCTCGTACACCTCGGTGGACCACAATGCACAGTTCAGATGCACCCACATGTCCAGGTCCATGTTGAGCAATCTGACAGAGGTTTAAGGGCACAGGTCAACACTTCATAAGGCAAGAACAGTTATTTTATCAATTGGAGATTACAGCTACATTTGTTACCAATTGTCTAGAATATGGCAAACATGAAATTTTGATATACACCAACTTCAAAATCATATCCAGTTGCTTGAGTAACTGTTTTTTGGTGTATCTTATTACCTGGATGTCTAACCTTCACCGATGGCTGTAGAAGACTTTCCGTAAAAATCAGCAACAGAAGACTGAAATGGCTTGGCCATGTACTAACAAAAGTAAGAATGGACGACAATAGAACACCCAAAATAGATTTAAATTGGAGACCCGATGGTAAAAGGTAAGAGGTAGACCCAAAAGTACTTGGAGAAGAACTGTGTCGGATGACTTGGCAGCCATGGGATTATCCTAGCAAGAAAGTTGGCCAAGGACAGACCCAGATGGAAGAAAAGAGTCACAGCCTTATGTCTGGAAAGGGAAGAAGAGGATAAGTGCGTACCTTGCCGCTGCCTCTGTGTCACCATCCCCAGCTCTCCCACATAGCACACAGCAGCGGGAGTCCACCGGCAGGTCGTCGGGCTTCAGGCACGTGCCCAGCTTGGACATGAGCTCGTCGATCTCCTTCTCGCTGGGTGGTCTGTACGTGGACTTGGGCACCATGATGGACACCTCCCACCGCCTCCACCGAACACCCTTCCATTTCTTTATTAGCACCTACACAGGGACAAACAACATTACTTTACAACAGAACTATTATCACATGTAGTCAGACGATGTCAACCAATCAAAAGGCTCCATTTTCTATCGGTTACAGGCAGTAACATCAAAAGTGGTCAGTTATTAGGATAACCGACCACTTTTTGGACCGTACCATTATATAGGGGGCAGGACACTAACAGTAGTGTTCAGACTTGTAGTATTTACATGTATCTATCAAACAACGTATTGTAGTTTATTTTGAATAATTCATTTGAAAATATGACACAATTAAAAAGACATAAATGAAACAAAAACAGAAAAAGACCAATGATTAATCTTAAAGAATTAAATCATATAAACTTGAGGAATATATTGCAAGCAGCATACATGTACATACAGTATGGCACATCCTTAGCAACCGTATTGAACTCAATGAATTAGTGAAAATTGTACTTTATGGCATACTTATCTGTATCCCAAAGTACCTACCACCCCTTTGTAAATAGACCGTTCCACTGACCTTAGGGGGTTCTGGAGGCAGGTCCTGGGACGTCTGAGACGTGTTGGAGTCTGACCTTCTCTTCAGGCGGGGTCGCTCGCTCTTACCCTCTGACCCCTGACCTTCAGAGAAGGGTTTGGAGGTGTTGTTGACGTAGGTGGGACTGAGGTGGATGGGGATTTCAGAATGCTGGGGCCTGACGATGTCCCTGCTTCTGTGGTCAACTATAGACCCTGCTTTCTCCTGGGAGGGAAAACAAAACAGAGATGATTTCAGCAAAGAATAACATCATCCAGAAAACCTATCTTTATCAGCAGTACATAAATTGATTCTTTCTACAGCCTGCTAACTTTTGGTACTACAATCAAAACATACTGAAGTACTGCGTACTCATTTTATTTTTCTGTAGATGTAAATTTTTAGGTTAGGTGCACCAGCCAACGGCCACCTATTCGCGAACATTAATTTCAAGCCCTGCCATTCAGTGTAGGAAGCCAGGCTTTTAGCTAGGGTGGTGTTTGGGTGTCTTTTGGACTCCTTGTACTGAGAACAAGAAATTGGACTCCCTACTTTCTGGTAGGGCACCCTTAAGACATCCTATTTTCTCCATTTTCAACCCCTGCAAAGCATGGATGCCTCCCCTTACAAATGCAAAAATGATGTTGTAACGAAGAAAAAAAACTTGGCTGTAGCCTGTATTCCTCAATTTGCACCTCAAAATGTAGGAAAATAGTGTTATAGAGCATAAGGAAGAACCCTACCTTTGTTTCTCTCCTCGCCCTACTCTGCAGTGAGATGGCAAACTGCATAAGGCAGGTGGGACTACAGAACGTCAGCTCTGAGTCTGAGTCAGAGGAATCCTGTGAAGGACAACAGTCAAGCAATCGAAAAATCAGACAAAGGAATTTCAACACCTTTTGGGGACGGTTTCAAGCAAATTAAACAACAGCACCAAGACACAAATAAAATTCTTTGACTGAGAAAGATATCAAAAGAAAGTTATCAAAAGAAGTTATAACTAGAAGAAATAGTAGAAATAAACACATGCAGGAGACTGAAAGAAATGTTACTAATCATTTTCTTTTACTTCTTGTATTTTAGAAGAGAAGTTATAATTTCTCAAAAAGTATGAGCTCACCTCAGAAACCAGAAGAGCAATGCAACGCAACAAGGAAAGGCAGAACTAAGAAAAAAGTCATTTGAGTGCACTTCATTTTTATCAAGGCCCTGTCACACATTCAGGACCTTTCTGTTAATTATTACTTTGCTCAAGACCACTCCCAAACCATGGTCAGCATTGGGTTGGGACTAGTATGAAGTCAAACTGAAAAATCCATTCTATTATCAATTATGATTTTTCAAAATTCAAAGTTGGTCGCACATGAATTTTAAAACAAGTAGGCAACCTCGCTGACCAACTTCCAATGACCAAGCTTACAGCTACCTCCTGACCATGGGATGGTCTGAAGGGCATGGTCAGTTACAATGTATGTGTGACAGGGGCTTTAGACAGTAGCCTTTACACAAGTAGCTGAAGAGGGAAAACTCAACCTTAGCCTCCACAGACAGAAAACACAACAACAGAGATAGATAATCTCCAAACTGTAATACTCTTTACCTGAGCAACAAATCTAGTCCTGACCTGATCACTTCTGCCTTCTTGGTCTCTCAGGAAGGGAAAGTCAGAACTTGCTTTCCTAATGCCGTCCCCTTGTACCACTACGTCGCAGTGTCGACAGAACTTGGGTTTGCCCTGCTGCAGTAAGGTCTCCAGGCTCACCCCTTGTGTACATGTGGAGAGGACCCCGTCTGCTTTCCTTTGCTGCTGCTGCTGTAGTCTGAAGTGTTCCGCCATGGAGCTCGGGTAGTCTGCCCCTTCGCTGATCTCATAACTCGTGGGCACGGGCACGCGAACCAGGTCCGCCACCGCCGCCACGATCCCGTTAATGTCCTCCGCAGCGGTCGCGGATAACGTCAAGGACACGGACATGTTACCGTCCGGTCTCTGGGGCGGAAGGGGTCCCCCCGCCTGCCCCACTAATGTCCTCATGCGTTCCAGATTGCTCACGCTGAACGCGCTCTCCGACGTACGTGAAAACGCAGGGGTAACCTGTGCGTCTGTCGTTCTGGGCATGGACACGCTAGTCCTAATGTCCACGGTGCTGGTGTTGGGGGGTACCACAGACTGTGGCACCGAGAACGTGGGCTGAATGAAGACGCCGGCCTGGCTGGTCGGGAAACTGGACTGACCGGTGGCCAGAGGAGCCGGGTGGTCCCGCGGTAGCTGTGCCAACTCGGTTGGCGGTTTGGCTGCAAAAGGTAAAGGTAGAGAGTCTACTAAGGGGAGACCTCTGAGTTTGGTGTTTGCTGCAGGTTGTAAAAGGAATGTCTTATTCACTACCACAACAGTGAAGGAAGTTGAGGAGGAAGAGGCCGAGACTGGCTCTTTCCCAGGCTCAGACAGTTGGAAGGCCAGCTGAGCTGTTTGTATAGTGGAGGGAGGAGGTTGGATCCCCTGGATTTTCGACCTCCGAGTCTGGGGATCTGCTGAATCACTTTTGTGCCTGGGCATGCCACACGGAGGTAAAGCTGCTGCTTGGGTGGTTTGGGGAGTTAGTTTGGGGTTCTGCGGTGCTCTGTGCTGCACACTCTGGATGATCAGTGTGGGGTTAGTGGCTCGGGGTGGGGGCACGGCAGCCAGACTGACTGTGTGGTGGTGAGTGCTGAGAGGTTTGGGCTTAGAGAGTGTCTTAAGAAGGGTCAGTTGACAAGAAGGAAGTCCAGGTTTTGAGATGTCATCAGAATAGTCTGTAAGGACAGGTTAAGAAAGAACAGGTATCAAAACATGATGTGGTCCAAGAAGATTTGAATGAAGATAAACATGAACCGGACTGATTCAAACCAAAGCCATGGGTCATTGAGGCTGAACATAGTATAATGATTTAAAAATAAAGAAGCAAGCTTCTTGGACCACTCCACTATTCACTTCTTGTGGTAATCAGGTTTTAAAGAAGGAAATTCAATGATGGAATGAGGAAAGTATTACAGAGTTGACAGTAAAGGGAAAATGGTAGATACATGTATTTTAGTGCAAAACAAAATTATATCACTATTGTTAGCCCATATTTCTTTTCAAAATTCCTGTAATATACATGTATTAAAAACAACAGAGCTGCAACAGACGCTCACAAATAATCCTTATTATTATAATTATAGAACAACATCTTAATATCAACGAAATATACATTACTGTGCAAATTAGCACAACTCTTTACCAAGCACATTAACACACAGACAAGATAGTCAATCTATAAATACTGGAACATACTAAACACATTTCATTTAATTTAAGAAAACTAAGAATGATTTAATGAAGAATGATGAATGCCAACTTCTTTAGAAACTTAATCTTCTCCCTGCTGCCTAACCCCATAACCAATAGGGCATCAGTCGCCAAATGGCTACAGTATAGCAGTTTGGCAGAACGTACTGCACCTGCGCGAATGTATTGTGCACAGCACTTTGGCAGAATGTCTCATACAAAGCCGTATTTGCGCATATAAGGTTAACATCCCATCTGTAGTTTCTATTTTATGTCAGAAAAGGTATCGTCTGCAACGGGCAAAATTCTGATGCAACGTTGATCAAAAACCCAACGAAAACCGTGAAAAATCGCACAGACGCAGTACACTCTGCTGACGTGCCGCTAAATGTTAAGAAACTTACCTCTCCTTGGTGTAGGTGCGATGAGTGGGATAGTGGGTGAGGGTCCCCTGTTGGGTCCGGTGTTGAGACTGATGAGTTTGGGGGGCTGTGGGGGTAGTTCATCGTCTATCACACTCTCAGGGGAGGAGGAGGGGACAATACTGTCTGGGGTTGTGGCATCACGGCTAAATCTGACAAGGGAACAAACACACAGATTATGTTAGCTGTGAAAACAACTCAAGTCACATCTCCTCTGCTTTTAATTATGATGATTGTACAGATTGAAGCTTCATTATCCCTCCAGAAAACAAAGACCTTCATTTCTTGACAGAAATATATTTCCTTACTTATCCTAAAACATTTCATCACTCAAGGAGTCAGATCATGGAGTCAGAAAAGGTCAATCAGCTCAAAAAATTTGTTCCTTGCAGGGCTCCACACACACACACAAAACAGGCTAGGGTGGGCATTTTTTTCTAGTGTCAGTTGGGAAACAGGCCTTACCTTGGTGCTTCTCCTGGTGCCAGGTTACTGGGTGGAGGTGTGGGGAGGGATGGAGGCACGTTGACGTCCTGAGGCTTACTCCCGTCCATGCCCAGCACAGAGCTGTTCTCCGCCCGTGTGATGGTACGCTGGTGGGACACCATCTCCTTCATCAGTTCATCTGCCGTCGTCATGGAAACCTCCGAGTGTGGGAGGAGCTGGTACCTCCTGGGCTCCGGTTCTGTCTCCAGTTTACCTGAGGCAGGAGACATGTAACCTGTGCTTCATAATTATCACTTTCTCACCTGGATTTTGCGTTGAAAGGTCCAAAATTTAATAATCTTATTTCTTACAATCACATTTAACTTACATGTATAACACCCTCCACTTTAAGTTAGGAATGCAACTTTTCCCATTTTGATGTGCTAATATTTTTAATATCAAAGTATTTGAATGAAAAGTCCTTTGTACATAACTGACAAATATGATGTACAATTTATGGATGATGATGATTAAAGAAATATCTTTCCTTATCCTACACACTGTACATGTACATGAAGTACAGACCTATCCTACCTTGGTCATGTGACCTCTGATCACCAATCAGCTTGGCCCGTCGGGTGCCCAGGATCTCATCTGGATGCAGATGGCCGTTGACCATGGTAGGTCGCGCCATTCCGGGGGTGGGGGGTGGGGGTAGCGAGGCAGGGGGGTCGGGGGGTTACTGAGTGTTTCACTCTTCAGGAAGTTGGAGTAGTAGTCCTGGACCCCGTCCAGAAAGGCGTGACCAAACGTGCCCTTCAGCTGGTTATCTCCGTTCAGCGGTCCGCTCCCGTACGGCGGGAACAGGGCAAAGTTCACACTGATCTCTGGCTCGCAGAGCGACAACTGGAAAAATGGAAAATACCTGTCAATTCTCTCTCCATTTTAGCCTGTCTCCACCTATAGTAGGCCTAGGAGGGAGGAGGAGGTTTTCACTGTGTTTTAAGTTTGCGGATGAGACAATTCTTCATTGCAGTAGCCATACAATAGAAACCCACATTTAACAGATTGACAGTACATACATGTACATACTATTATTTTGTCTATTACAGATAGACAAAAAAAGGAAGGAGTGTTTTATAAAATCTGAGAGATCTGAGACAAATCTGTTTGCAAAGTAGCTGAAAAAGGCAATCCAACTACAAGCTGTAAGTATGGGAACAAAATGCTACTTAGTGTAAAGATTAAAACTACAAGCTGTAAGTATGGGAACAAAATGCTACTTAGTGTAAAGATTAAAACTACAAGCTGTAAGTATGGGAACAAAATGCTACTTAGTGTAAAGATTAAAACGTACAGACAAAAAAGGGAAGGAGTGTTTTATAAAATCTGAGAGATCTGAGACAAATCTGTTTGCAAAGTAGCTGAAAAAGGCAATCCAACTACAAGCTGTAACTAGTGTAAGTATGGGAAAAAATGCTACTTAGTGTAAAGATTAAAACGTACCTGTTTCACAGTGCTCATAATCATCTCTGTAGAAGGGAACCGGTTTTGTTTCATCTTCGTTATCTCATCTGTCCAAATGAAGAAATTAAAAGATCAATTAAAGAAATATTCTAAACTTAAACATCCATCAAATACATCATTCTTTGTACAAACTTATCTCAATGTCATAAGAAAGCAGGGTTTGAATATGTTCGACAAACCTTCCTCGTCTTTTTTACGTTTCTTGGATGCCCGCTTGGTTTGTGTCTCCTTCCGCTTCTTTAACTGTTGCTGGTATTCTTGTCTCCTTCTTTCAAACTCCTGTGAACACAACAAGGATTGAACAAGTGAGATAGCGGCATTAGGCATCTTCAGATATTTGATAAGTATAAGTATAGGACAAAGAATAAAACAAGGCTTCTACATGTATACATGCAAGGAAGTAAAATTTTTCAAACACTGGTTCCACACTAAGAGTGTCTTCAGATCACGCCATATTAGCACACCAACATGGAGGTGGATGCAGCTCTTTGCAGTTCTGTTTTTTTTCTTTTATCGGACATCCATAGATCTTCTGACACTCTCAAAGTCAAATAACCACTATCAAGTGTGTATACACGACATGTATATAGCTCACAGGAAAAAATGCTAAAGCGCTAAAAGAAAACATAAAACTTGCCATTAAAAACGCTGAAATTCTGTGCTACAATTCAGCTCCTGTTTATCCAATATGGTTGAGGCCCCTGCCTCATTGATGTGGAAAGAATAAATGTCCTTACCTCCTGTTCTCTAACGATGACATCGGGAGCACTATGAGCTGGAGGGAGGGAGGACAGGCTCTTGGGGTCCCATTCCTTCTTCTTGTTCAACGTCGGCCACTTGTTTTGCCCCTTCTGTGCAAAAATATCACACAATAAAATCTCATGCAAGTGTCCCAGGCTACTTCAACCTATTACGTCCTGCTATCTATACAAAACTACTCACACCTTGTGCTACAGATACTCCCTTATATCTCAGCTGAAAGATCCCAAAAGTGGTGTTACATGTACGTAGTTGATCATGCAAAGGCTACATAGACTAAAAAGTAAAGAGAGTGAACCAGATAGTAAAAGCAGCCATTGCATCTTTTACTACATTTGCCCCTAGGTGGCTATCACAGTATCAGTGATGCTAACAGCTTTTTTTCTTTAAAGACTTAACCAGCTGAAAAAAAAGATACGCTGCAACCTCAACCTATTTTATGTTATCTTAGATATCCAGCACCTTGTCATATTTTTCTTTTCTACTACACCACTTGGGCATGCTACTAAACTAACCTTTCAAGTTTCAACATACATTTGTATGTGATACTTCATAAGAATTTTTAAATGTTTATTGAAGTTTAAAAATTATTCTGTTCCTTTTTAACTTTAATTTGGGACAATACAATGTAATTTACAGGCAAAGATTAAAGATTTTCAGGCAAACAGAAACTTTACAATGAATTGTGTGTATTATGCATTTTGCCTAAGAATAGGAGTGAGTTTTAAGGACTGTCGTCAAGTTGCCTTGCCCTATTTTTTATGCATTCATGTACCTGCATGTACCAAAAATCAACATACCAGCAATCTGCATGGATACTTCAACAGACCGACCACAGCATGTGATGTCTACATGGAAAGTGTTCACTTTCATTACTAACAATGATTCTGTTAACTATCTAACAACTAAGGAATACTGCAAGCATAGTTGTCAACAAATTTGCAAGTACATCCATTGGGTAGTAAGTTGTGAATGCAACAAAAATAACCGACAATATTAAGTCGCAAGCAACGAAGAAGAGACTGAAAGTCCTCCCCACCTAAAACCAGCACTATACACTTTGTCAGTCACAGAATTATCAGAAAGTTTAGCGGGAAAGTTTAAAAGCTGTAGGTAGATATTGAGCTCCTTCGTTTAAGCGTTTAAGTGGACTGCAGCCTAGTTCATGTGCGGTTACACCATATATGTAATGGAAGACAACATACCACAAGGCTGAATGGATAGTGCTCCAACAGACTGCGTTCACCACGTGATTTCTACACAGAAAGTGGGCCCTCTTAATATCCGTGCTAACTAGCTGACACCTACGTATGGCTACACTAAGCTTAACTAGGAATTCTAACAAGAATTGCAAACCATGCCAATAACCTGCAAAGAGTCTTATATTGTATACCTAATGAAATGGGAATTATCACTACATTTCCAACTGTGACATTACAACAACTTGCTGACAATAATTTGTAGCCACAATACAAATACATTGAGAACATCTGTTTCAGTGTTTTAACATGGTTAGCAAAAACTGTCTTCCCTTATAGGAATTGGTACTACTGTATTATTAGTAACCAATATCATTTACAATAGTAGTGTCACAGCTACAAATGCCTTTGTAATTCCACTACACGTCATGTAAACTAGGAAAATATCAAATATAATCAAATATAAGTGGTGGTGAACATTATTAGTAGTGGTGGACATTGTCATTTTAAAGAAATTTTAAGAGATTCATACAACATACACAAGCAGGATCAAAACTACAACACAGCCTTACCTTGCAGCAAAGTAAAAATCTTTTTTGGCCTTGTACAGACACTGGAGATACCTGTACTACTTGGTGAAAGAGTAACATTGCAACTGTCAATGGACCACTGGTCGGTGTTGAGAGCAAGCTAAAGTAGTGATGGGCAACTTCTAGGTAGCTTTTGGCTTAGGTTGTCTAGTGGGCAACCTCAGAAAGAAAGAGAGGATTTTGGAACCCTGCAATGTCTCCACATGGATATATGTTTGAATCTGAGGGACATAAAAACAATCCCCTGCAGTGCATGACCTGTGACAAGGCTTGCAGTTGCACTCACAACTTGCTAGAGGTCGTGATTTGTGACCAAACTATATTTATATGTCTGCACCCGTATCAGTGAGATAAGAATTGACAGTTGTATTGCTGCTGTTTCCTGTTTGCGAACTCTTGTTTTTGTGAACGACGACTCACCGGGACAGTCTCTGGCATCTGTTCCAACATCTCCAGCTGTTTCTGCTGCTCCGGGGTCAGCTTCAACTTGTTGATGACTTCCTCATCATCTGAGTCGTCCTGCTCTTCTTTCTTGACCTTCTCAGGGGTGGAGGTTTCGACTGGAACGTCCTGGGCTTCTTGTAGTGCTTTACAAGGGGGCAGGCCAGCCTGGGGTACACAAGGGACAAACCAAGAAATCAGTCCATCTTGAATACATCAATATTCCCTTCAGAATATTCGGCTACATTTCCAATGGAGCTGATGACAGGTAAACAGAACACAAACTTAGGCCTTACTAGGGTTTGGGTTGGCATTAGGAAGGGTATCCAGACGTATCAAAAGACTCAAAAAAAGACTCGCACTTGATGCAAGTATGTCTAAACCCCAGTTTCGGTGGGAAAAGACATTAAACTGGATAGACAGAGAAGAATGAAATCAAATAAAATTCTTTTGTACAAATTATACAATTATTGAATGAACATTAAGTGTTGGAAATGAGAAAAGACAAACTAATAACAATGTATGGCTTTTGCTCTGTACAACTGTAAGAACAGACAACTCTGTACCTTAGCAAGCAAGTTCTGAGTGGGAGTTCCCTGCAGTAGAGCTTTCAGGAGTTGGTTGGCAGCAGGTTTCTCTGGGCTGTCCTTCTTCCCGTCACCATTCCCATCGCCCTTCCCATCCTCCCCATCCTCCTCCTTCCCTTTCTCTGCCTCTCCACTGCCAGGGTCTGCTTTCTGAGGGCCCATCTCAGCCTTGAGTTTGTCTGTGTCCAGAGAGTCTGGTCTAGGCATGCTGTCTGCTGTTGTTGCAGACAGGCGGAGAGCATCCTTCTGCTCTGTTGTAAGGTGTTGTAAGAGGAGAGAGTGCTTGTTCATGTCCAGCTGCCCCTGGGAGCCGTCCGCGATGTGTCTGAGGGGCACCGTGAAGCTCTGATCCAGCAAGGGAGGCTGGGAAGGGTCCCTCCTAGCAGGAGGCATCATGGGATTGCCCTGCACCATGCCAGGGTGAGGCATTGTGGGATTCATCTGGTTCTGAGGTATGTCTTGAGGCATACCCTGTGGTGGTAGAGGAGGTTCTTCGTTGTCGGCTGACTTCTTTTTCTTGCGGTTTCTTTTCCGTTTGGGCTTGGGCTTCTCTGTTTCGGGGGGTGTGCCAGACATGGGGTAGTTTGGAGGCACAGGGAAGCCCTGGTGGGGATCCATGGGACCCATGGGGCCTGGGAAGGGCATTCTGGGATGCATGAGAGGGCTGCGAGGGAAGTTTCCTGGGCCGCCTGGAGGGAAGTTGGGTCCTCCGGGGGGAAACCGTGGTCCCTGGCCCATCGGTGGCTGGCCCTGACCTGGACCCTGGGACGGAGAAAACAAATATTACAGGTAAGGATACAGATCAAACTTATGTTGTCAACATTTCTCAAAGACAACAAACTAGAACATATCCAGGTTTACCATCTTGTACTTGTAGGTTCTACTTTGGGCTCCTGTACCTTTCTTTTGAAGCCAAATGTCAGAATTTGGTATGGGTGTAAATTGGGAATGTGCAAGATCTCTTCTTCAGTTGATAATCGTAAGCCTTTGAAAATTGACTTACTTCTAAATTCTATAAGTGCTACATTGTATTCTCAGCATTATGGACAGAAACTTTTCTGAAATAATCCATTTACCACAGGTAATTTTTGAACAGTTTTATGGGGGGAGGCACGGGTGTGAAACATTCTGTAGTAACTGTTGTTTTTAAACGTTGACTTCCTAGTTTGAAGTTGACATTTTTTCAACCTTCCATTGCACCTTGAAATATACTCTTCAGCCTTAGCTGCTTTGCAAGAGTTCAAGGGAGAATGGTCTAGGGCCTTCTTTACAGAGCACCACTGTTATAACACAAAACATCAGTATTTACAAAGATTTGCCTTACCATGAAAGGAGGTCCCTGCTGCTGTGCAGGCGGCTGCTGTTGCTGCTGCTGTGGGTTTGGGTTCGGTTGCAGCTGGCCTGCAATGTCAGGGATCTCAGGGGTGTTGAAGAAGGGCAGCTCCATCATGCCCTGCCTCCTCTCATTGGTCAGGTTGTTCTGGACAACCTCTTGGTTATGCCAATCATGGTCCTGGAAGAGCCAATCAAAAGTAGTGTTATATCACAGGAAAGTGAGAGAAAACTGAACCTATATCTTTGAATTTACTTACTTTACCTGCACCACTCAGAATTTAGAAACTACAGGTTGTACTAAAAACAAATCAGAAACCAATGCTATAATTTCTTTTCTACTTCAAGGCGGTAACAGTCATACACCTTCAGTACAGATCTTGTTTAACTTCCCATTTACACGTGTGTGAATCTCGTGCAAATATCGTGTGGAAGTTGAGCAAGGCTCTGCATTTCTAGTGCAAAAGTTGTTTTAGTAAGTACACACCAGAAATAGCCATACAGCTCTAAGCTTGCGCTAACCTGCATATGTAGGTGGTATTTTCAGTTCTGTACTACAACAGAGGTCATCAGTTGTCACATCTATGAAACGAGAGCTGTTGACAAAACAAACAAACAAACAAACAGACAGACCTGTCGCTCCATCTGCTGTAACCTCCTCTGCTGCTCGATCTCTTGCTGAAGCTGTAAGCGCTGCCGCTCTTGTTGCTCCCGAAGACGTTCCATTCTCTCTCGCTTCTCCCGCTCCTGGAAGGCCTCGCTGAAGGGGTTGTTGTCGTCTAGGACAACCCGTGGCGCCGGCGGCATCCTCTGGGCCTGCTGCTGGGCCTGTTGCTGCGGGTTCGCCGCGGGTCCGGGTCCCGCCTCGCTGAACTGCTGCTGAGCCCCAGGCAGGGGGACAGGTGGACCTGCACCTAGTGAAAGTCAAACTTTAAATGCTACGCACAGTAAATCTTGATGACAATTGAGAATTTAATGAACCATTCTGCTAGTGATCTGGTCATTCTGAAGTGTCAAACCAAATGCTATAGAACGAGTGCTGTACCACACAGTCCATTTACTGAACACGTAATTGTCTTTCAATGTTGCTAATTGCCCTATAACTTGTATTTTCTTTCTGATTTTAAAGTATTTTAATTTTAGATCTGGATCGTTGAGTATATATGAATGATTAACTTGCTGACTGAAAAACTTTTGCTTTTGATTTTAGCTTGAGTAGCAAGATAGAAAATGTTCTTTATGTTTTGCAGTCAATTTCTGTAATATCACTTCAGCCTTTGGGCTGTGACTGTTGTGATATAGTAGATGCCATAATAAATCACTCTATAATAAACAAAGGCTCAAAGAAACCAACAAACCTAGTGAGGGGGATGCCTGCCCCATGGGTGGGGTGGGGTGGCGCATGGGCGACTGATCCAACCGTGGGGACAACAGGGGGGAGTGCTGCCCGGGGGGGATCATGGGAGACATGCGCTGGGGCATCATGGGATTGGGGCTGTTGTTGGGGCCCATCATGGGCTGGGGCGGGAAGCCCGACTGTTGCAGAGACTGTTGCTGTTCCTGAGCTCGCTCGCGCTGCTTCATACGGTATTCCTGAAAACACACAAAGTACTGCTCAACAACTTTCTATTCTTGAATATACAATAATCAACTAAGATGTTATGGCCACCTCCAAACAATGGACAGTGACAAATGGCCTAGGAAGATCCTCACACTGGATGTGGAAGGCCAGAACCATTGGTCTACCAAAGAAGAAAATTTAATGATTTGACAATGTCTAAGGGAGGGCCTCCACCACTTGAAACTAAGTACGTAACATCAACCCACAGGATAGAGGTAAGAGGCGGGCTGCCATCAAGCCTCGGTATTGGTGTGCAAGCACGTCTAACCCTCAGAAGTCAGGGAACAACTTACAGGCAATAAACCGGATAGTGAGACTGAGTGAGCACTACTGACAATAACACCCAAGAAGGGCCAAATCACATTGAAAACGTTTACATATTGAACTAGAGTTTGAGGAGGCAGAAAAGAAGCAATGTCTGACCTGTATGAGGAGGGAGTGTTTTTTCTGCTGTTCCCGGACCTGCTGTAGCTGTTTCTGCAGCACGCTCTGCTGTTCCGTCATGGCCTTCAGCTGGTTCTCGTCCGTTTCAGACAGCTCCTGGCCGTTCTTCTTCTGCTGGCGCTGACGGGCAGCCAGCGACTTCTTCTGCTTCTTCTGTTTCCCAACCTGCAGTGGGTGGATGCAAGAAATATTTAGTTATTCTTTAGCCAAACTAGCTTATCTCATGGTGACAATGCTTTACAACGGAGCCCTGACTTAGTTTTAAAATTTGTTATTGTTCAGAAAGAGACGAATTAAACAATGTACATGTAGCTAGGCTAATATTTGGTCAGGATGGCTGAAAAGTAATGTTAACTCTATAAATATATCTAGATCCAACATCACTTCCAGTCATCACCAAGTAGGGTTAATACATTGCTTGTTTCTTTTGTACATACAGCTGGTTTCTTTTTCACTAGTTTGTTTTTGGTATCATACAAAGAAAATTTCAGTCTCAATTCAAGTCAGATCAACCTTCAGAACAATCAAAGGACATAAAAAAAGGTGTTTACTACAGGACAGAATATCCTCTATCCTGAAAAAAAGTATTTCTACCACTGAAAGTTATTCCATTGTGTTACAGGTGTTAGCATCTTCTGCTGCATCTGCAGTTAATTGTAGTTATATACCAGTAGATGCCATACTTTGTACCATGTACAACTGTTGTGCAATATAAAGTACCTGAGCTTCCAGCATCTTCTGTTGCATCTGCAGCAGTTGTTGGTGCTGGAAGAGCCACTCCTCGTACTGCCTCTGCTGCTGGGGGTCGATCTCCCCGTTGGGTCCGTTAGGGAAGGGTACGGGGGGCTGGGGACCGATGTTGAACCCCTCGCCGTTGTTTCCAAACTGTCCGTTACCTCCCTGTGGGTGAGATATTTAGTTGTCACGCCAACAGTTCTTACGGTAGATTCCCGATTTAAGTCAATTTCCAATTGCCAGCCTCGAGCATCTCTTTTTGCACCTCTACGTTTTATTTTTGCATGTCTGTGCTTTTTCCTGAGCTGACATCACGGGATGACGTCAACTCAGGAAAAAATAGTCTGCCGGGACTGGCTTGTGCTGACTTTTTCGAGGCGGGGCATTGAAATTTCAAATGTAACAGGAGAGCCCTGACAATTATTGTAAACATGTCTTTTAGCCAGGTAATACTAGTTATGTCAACTACAATCAGATAAGGTTATATTTTGGTGTCATGAGCACTTTAATCAGGAATCTAATGTATTTGCAACTTGAAAGTGGCACACAGAAATTTAAATGGAAGAGATGCAAAATATGGTTTGGGGTATAAGAATACAATGGATTTTGTATTTTTCATGAAATTGGAAATGGAGAGGGGTAGAACTTAACATTATGATTGTGACATACGCACTGGGCATAAGAAATTGTTTGAATAACATGGGTCAACTTAAAGATTGACTTTGACTTGAGCACAGAAGCTGAGAAATATTTGGTCCAAATTTTTCTGTTACAGAACTATTATAAATTGTACCTTTGATCAGTAGTGTGCAAAATGTGCTTTTATGTTAGACCTAAAAAAAATATAGAGCATTCCCTGAGATGTCTAAATCGAGAATACAGGCTTTCAACAAATAGAAAGGACAATTAGTACAATATTATACAATCAATGACTTTTGAAAAGGTAACAAAACAAGTGCCTCCACTCTATGTCTTGATCATGGAGTGACCTAGTGTTGCAAGAACATGGAACTAGGTCAAGACTTTCTAGCCTCCTTACAGGGGTAAGTAGGACTGCCTCTTCGTTAAGAATCAATAAGATTCATCATAACACATTCCAACTGGATATGGACTGCCTCCTTGATCTTTCTGTGATTATCTGAAGATCTACACAAGTCTCAACCTAGTCTCGTGTTCTCCCAAGACTAGGTCACTCCATGAATAAGACGTACAGTGGACGTCAAAAATTTTGAGGTACATGTTTTGTACCTTTTCAAAAGTCACTGATTGAAGAATGTTGTACTAAGTGCGATTTCTACGTGCCCCTCTAGCTAGCTGTTACCTGGAACTGTGCAGGGAAGTTAGGGCGGAATCCTGGCTGCCCATTGCCAGGGTTGTTGGGCATGTTGGGGAGGAAGGGTGGACGGATGCCCGGCTGCAGCGGCTGCTGCCCCCCTCCCCCCTGTTGTTGCTGCTGCAGATGGTGCATGGTGTTCATGGCCTGCAGCATCTGTGCATGCGGCCCACTGCCTTGAATCTGTTGAACCACCTTTGCATTGGAGGGAGAACCAAAAAAGGATCCTACATTACATCACTGTCTTCTCCCCATCCACCCACACCTATGTTAGTCTTCCTTATCAGACCGTTTCCATAGTAACCTGTTAGTTGACCTTTGGCCTGGTATCACCTTTGACCCCTGCAGTGTCGTGTAACAGGAGTTTTAATCTGGTTGAGATAACTACTTGGCAGAAGATATAAGAGCTCTACTGAAAGGACAAGTCATGAAAAAGTGAAACAAGGTAAGCAATAAGATATAGGAAAAGAGAACATTTCAGCCCATTAATGTTGTAGAAACGAGGGCATGCAATAACCGGAAATTATAGAAACAAAAGGTTGAAAGCAATATGATACCTGGCTTATTTTCATCAGGACCCGTGCCTTGGCCTTGGCGATGGGGTCAGACATTTGGGACATTTTGTCCGTATCAAAGTTTCGGAAGAGCGACGCGGGCCCGCTCTGCCCAAACTGAAGCATCATCTCTTTCTGTAGGCAAAGGGCAAGAGTACAGTTAAGGGCTGCCAATCACTCGGACCTGTCCCTTGCTGTAGCAGCACCTTTTGGGAGTTAAGCTTTTGCTCGGTGGGAATTATTATCAAACAAAAAAGGATAAACCCAACATACCTCTGGCAAGGCTTCTCATAACAAAGACAGACAGAAATGTTGTGGATATTTCTGAACGAAACATTTCTATCTTAATGTGCACAATGGAAACAAACAAAGGATTAACAACACTGGCTGACACAATTTCAATGTGAGCTTTTGACACGATTGATAGTAGTACATGGGCAGTGCAGCATGGGTCTACGGTGATTGTTAGTAGCCATTTAGAATGGTTGTGGCATTTCGTCTCTTTTTTTAAATTAGATTATGGCATTCATTTTATGATTGTGCAGCTTTGGCTCTGTGCTCCTGAGGAATGAAGGAACAGTGTGAAAGAAAAAGGTTAGGGGATTCACACTGAGAAAAGAATCAAGATGGAATGATATAGGAGGATCAAGGCTTGATGGTGTCAGTGGCCATGACATAAAAAATACAAGCATTCTGTTCATCATCAAAATATCCTGTGTAACAAATAACAAGTGAGTTCATCCTGGAACTGAAATAAATTCCACATTCATAAAGTAAACTTGAACATGAGTGAAACAAAATACAAGTAAGTAGCAAGCTGTTGTGGTAAACAATGTTAAGTTTAAGGTCAACAAGCATTTCATGCCAGAAGAAAGGTAGAATACAATACTAGTAATACTAATAGAAAAACATGGGAGAAAACATATCAAGCATAATCACCTTTCCTCATATAATTTGGAATAATTACTGAATTGTTCTGTGTTAAATGAAAATGTTTCAACAGTACAAGCCAAAAGAACTTTGGGCCGCACAAAATATAGAAAATTTACAGATCGGTTTGGAAAAACTTTACTTGGTCTGTCAAAATTTGATCAGCAGATGTTCAAAGTAGCAGGTCAAACTCTAATGCTTACAGATAATACTTCAATGGTGAAAAGTTTGGACTTATAGATAACACAGATACAGCAAAAACAGGATTTTCTTGAACAATTATTATAGGAAATCACATTCAAATCTTGGAAATAAAATGGTCATGATGTCTACTGCATATACATGTAACGTTACATATTTCCAAAGTATGAAAGTCTGTGTACTCCCATCTTTTGAAAGCTGTGTAGGAAAGGCATAACAAATGCAAAGCAACAAATGTGCATGCTAGCGAGAAAAGTGAGCATGCTAAAACAATCAGTCTCACAGCAGAACAAACAAACAAACCCTCAAATGAGAGATAGTAGAAGAGATACTGACTATTGATCGAGGTTGGTTCGGATTCGGAGCCTGAGGCTGAGCCGTAGAGGACTGGGGCGTAGGAGACTGATTCTGAATCGGAGGAGGCGGTTCGGAAACAGGGGTGGTCGGCTGGGGCGGCCATGTCCCCGGCTAGAAAACAAAACCGTTACATCCATTCACATCTCCAACAAACCAAATCAAGGACAGCAGTGAGTGTGACTCTACACAAATCAAATAAACTCTGCACGGCTGCTAACGCAAACTTATAAGGACATAATCAACTAAACATCATGCGAGAGAGTGAAAGACTGTGAGAGAAGAGACCTGAGGTCGGTGTTTCCTGCGTGACAACTCTCTTTCAGTCACTCATTCCACGTAAGTCAAAAATGAATGCAATTTTGTATTTGACTGGATACATGTATTTGATGCAAGATTTTCTCATTCTAGTTAACTTTTGAAAAGTAGCCAAGCTCCTAATAGTCAGTGTAGACGAGTGTATTCCAAAATTTGCAGATAAATTTTCTCCTAAAGTTCACTTTAACTGATGTCTAGATTACCTGGCAGTGTCCGATCTTGGCTACATTTTTTGTTGATAATCGTTTCATTTTCTGCACTGTGCACCAGTGCAACAATTACCAAATATGAATTTTGAGCCCTGGAGAAGTCACGTCTAGTCAAACCCTGTGATCTATTTGGTTCTGGTGTAACCTCTTGGACAGTCGTGACATACTTTTTCTCTGCATACCTGCACTGGTAAAGGTGAATTACCTGCATCAGACAAGTTTTACCAGCACCAGTCAGAATTTAGGAAGTAGGGATCATGCTAAAAACTGTTGTACTTATTACTTATACTTTGTAGGTGGTAATACTATATATAGTAAATACAAATCATCCACATACACCTTCATGTATATATAAACCCAGTGCAGGTTTGGTACAGGTAGACATCAGAAATACCTGCACAGCTCCAATTTTACCTGTACTAACCTGCATATGCAGGTGGAATTTCAAGCCCTGTGCTGGTATAACCAGCTCCTGGACAGCAGCTGTTACCTGTTGTTGTTGATGTTGCTGCCTCTGCTGTTCCTGTTCCCGCCTTTCCTGTTCCAGCAAGTCTTCCAGCAGCAGTGGCTGCTCCTCAAGCAACAGCCGCCGTTCCTTTCTCAACCGCAAAGCACCTAGCGGCGAGAAAACATGTTAACTTTACACCACTTTCTACTACTTTAAGTAGCTGCTGCGCTACCAAATATTTAACAGAACAAACTTCATATACATGTACACAAAGGACGGTTTTCTAAATTATCTACAGATTTTTATCCGTGCATGAAGACATTAAGAGCTCAGTTCCAAGTCTGATATACATGTACATGTACATGTATGTGTAATACCGTACCTTGTAACTGTCCTGCAGTGGGTTGCATGAGCCCTTGACCACTTGATGTCGGCATGGCAATGGACACTGGTGCGCCCCCTGGCACCCCAGGCTGAACTGCACCTGATGCCGGTGGGCCGCCCTGTGGTGCCATACTTGTCTGCAAACAGCTGGGTGGCTGCACGACTGCAGACGAAGTAACCCCCACATTCTGTAGGTCTGAGTTGGGCCCTGGTATACTACTCGTCCCAGGGGTGACATGACAGGAAGAGGCAACAGTGGGCTCTTCTTTCGTAACCCCTTCAACGTGTTGTCCCGTACCAGATTCTGGCGTGCCGTCTTGCTCAAGAAGCTGTCCTGTGGATGGGTCCTGCAGTTGGTCTCCAGTTTGTGGTGCTTCCCCAGAGAGTGGCTTGCCTTCTGTGCTGTCACCAGGACTCTCTTGCTTCAGACCATCTCCCTGCTGACTTGGACCTGCTGACTTCACTTCACCCTGGTTCTGTTGGGCACCTTCTGTCCCAGAATTCCCTGCAGCACCTTGCACCTCTCCCTCTGGCTTCCCAGCATCCTCTCCTCCCATTTTTTTATCCACCTCTGGTTTTACGTCCTCTTTTCCTTTCTCTGCTTCTCCTGAGGGGGATTCTTGTTTCGTTGCATCTTTTGTTTCAGTAACTTCATGCTCAGGGTTGGAGGCATTCTTGCTGGCAGTTGTTTGTTCACTGCCACTTGTACCAGGCTGTTCTACCTTAGCGTCCTCCTCCCCCTGCTTTTTCTCTTCAGGCAGTTTCTCCTTCTTCTGCTCCTCCCCCGGGTCACCCATGATGTCATTGAACATCTGTTGCTTGTCCAGTTCAGGGTCAGCGTACTGTAAGATGTCAAAGTCTTCGCCGCCGAGGAATAGCTCGTCATCGATGTTTGCGTCTTGAAGATCGTCGTGCGACGGGTCCAGGTTCTGACCGCCCATGGTGTCGTCTCCGGTGGGAGGAGCCTGGCCGCTCTGTTGTTGCGGCGGCTGTTCCTGCTGTTGGGGGTTCATCCCCTGGTTGTCAGGGGCTCTGCCTGGCATGCTGGGAAACTGTTGCGATGCAGAGGTGAAGGGTGGGTGGGGCACGCCCGGTGGGAACGGCCGAGGTCCCATCTGGTTCATGTTACCCTGAGCTCCGTTGTTTTCAAACGGGAACTTGGCTTGAGTTTCCACCATCTGGTTCTGGCGGCCGAGAGGATCGAAGGACTCCATGGAGGTGGGAGGGTGCATGCCGGGAGGAGGGTGCGGGTGCCTCGGCTGAGGACCCATCATCCTCTGCTGGTTCTGCATCATCAGGTTGCGCTGCTGCAGTCTCTCCTGCACGATCTGGATGTAGGGGTTACGGGGCCTTTCCCCCATCAGCCCACCCGGGACGGGTCCCTCATCAGGCCTTTTCAACTCGATGTATTGCTGACCTCGGGGGCCCTGAGGGAAGGGACCACGCGGGTGCCTGAGTTGGAGGGGGATGTTTGCCTGCATGTCGTCACCAGGCTGTTGACCCGGGAAGTTAGGGCCGGGCCCTCGTGGGAACTGCATCTGGCCGTCCGGCCTGTTCTCAAACTGTGCCTGCATCCGGGGGTTCATGAACATCTGTCCCCGGGGGAGGAAGGGCGGGCGCATCCTCTCCTCACCACCCATGAAGGGAGGTCTCTGTCCCGGCAGGAAGGGCTCATGCATGTCCCCCGGCTGTGGTGGCCTGTCCCCAGGGAAGTTCTGTGGTGGGACACCGGGGCCTCCCCAGGACTCGGGAAGCATGGCGCTGCTAGTAGTACTGGTTGGACCGTGTGGACCAGCGTATGGGGGAGGCGGCCCCTGGGAATCTTCTGGAGGCCAGTGTCTTAATGGGATCTGTGCACCAAACTGTTCCTCCTTTGGAAATAAAACATGATAATGATTATGTTGGAGCATTGATGAAGGTTAGATATTCAGGTACAACACTTTTATATCATATAGAAGACACAAACCAACTACACGTTGTACATAGATTCTAGGATGAATTCTAGGACCTCTTTTGTTATACAGTACCGAAAGCATATAAATTACGTAAATTACGATCTGTGTAATCATACACATGCCGAAATTATGATCATAAACATGGCATAATTACTCTCGGGAGCAGGGGGGGGGATGAGTCCTGCTGCATATTCTGACAAATATGCAGAATATTCATTATCAGCCAGTGTGTACTTTATTAACTACTCATCAGTAGAGAGAACACACTAACGTACCTTGACCTGCTCCATCTGCTGACGTTGCCTGCGCCGCTCCTGCTGCTGCCTCAGCAGTTCTCGGATTTGCTGGCGTTTCTCAATCATGCTCTGTACCAAAATACACCGAACATAAGGATTGTACAATAATGAATGAACTTTCAGTCAATGTCAAACTGTAATTTCCTATTATAACAATTCACGTAAACAAATTTTTAAATAGCCAAGGCCATGTCTTTGTCATGGAACTGGAGTTGATCAGTCAAAAATTTGGATTGGCAATTGTAGTTTGACACTGACTCAGAATGACTTCTACTGAGAAAGATGAACTTTCAAGCTAACATTATGTTAAGTAAATACAGGTATAAACATGACAAAACCTCACTCAAAGTTGCTCCAGTGTTTTCTAGAAACTCCCGAGACCCACCTGCATGGCACTCTGGTTGTTTCCTCCCATCATGCCCATCTGCTGCTTCAAAGCATGCTGGGAGTCAGCCGGCATGACTGGACCCTGTCCCTGCATGCCCTCCGCGAACACCCTCCCCTGCTGCGACAAGTGGTACCTCCTCTCCATCACCGGTCTTGGCTGGCCCATCCCGCCTGGATTCCTGTCGAATGGTGCATTCTGGGGGAAGCCGCCCTGCTGTTGCCATGGTCCCTGTTGCCGTGGAGACATCATCCCGCCCGCTCTGGGGCCAAACGGATCCTGTGGACCCCCCATCCTGGGCGGGAATGGTGCGTTCTGTAGACCGACTGGCCCAGGGGAGAACGGGTCCGTGTCCTGGGTTGGACGTGGGGTGCCAGGCTGCTGGGCGTATGGGTCGTTGTCTGGCAGGGTGGGTTTGGGGAAGGGTACAGACGGACCGACCGGTCTGGATGCTTGCGAGAAGGGCGGACGCCCGGGGGGCGGCATGAGAGGGTCCTGCTGGTTGGGAGGTCTCGGAGCTGCCGGCATTTTGAAGGGGTCCCTGCTCGGACCAGGGCGGGGAGTGCCAGGCATTTTAGCGTAGGGGTCGTCCTGTACCGGAGAGGGCTGGTATGGGTCTGCGCTGGGCTGGGACAGGGGCGGGATGAAGGAGTCGGTCTGGGGTGGAGGTCTGGGTGTGCCGGGCATGCTGGCGTAGGGGTCGTCAGGAGGCAGCTGGGGCCGCTGGGACATCTGGGAGAACTGGTCGTCCGCTGATGCTCTACGTACGGGCATGGAGGGGCGTACAAACGGGTTGGCTTGTGGACCAGGTCGTGGGGTCCCGGGCATCTTGGCGTACGGATCGTCACTGAGGGACCTCTGCAAGGGAGGTCGCTGGAAGGGGTCCCGATTCCCAGTTCCGGGCCGTGGCGTCCCAGGCATTTTTGCGTAAGGGTCATCCGGTATGCTCGGTGCGGGGCGTGGGGTACCGGGCATGTGGGAGTAAGGGTCCTCGGGCGGAGGTCTGGACACGAAGGAATCCGAGTTGGACCTCGGCCGAGGCGTTCCGGGCTGCACTGCGTACGGGTCTTGTGACGACGGCCGCGGCGTGCCCGGCATGCGAGCGTACGGGTCGTCTGGTTGGTTGGTCAGTGACAGGGACCTCGCACGTGGGGCAGGAGCCTTGGGAGCCACAAAGGGGTCTGTGGAGTCTGCCTGCGGTGGAGGGGGCACGGCAAACGTGTCCTGGGCCATACTGGACGGTGGAACAGAGTCCGACGTTGGAGGCAGAGGTGGCGGTGGCATCATGCTTGATTCTGATTGGCTGGTGGGGGCACCATTGGGTCCTGACTTATCAGGAACGCTCTCTTCCTCCAGTCTCTTCTTCTTGTTCTCGCGGAGTTCTGCTGTAAGTAAGAGGGACTGGTGAGACTCTGTTGGAGGCAATGCACATAAAAATACATCAGTGATGCAAAAAAATACATCTCAGCGATGCACAACAAATGTTTTCTCAAGAAGCATACAATTTTCCAAAGCCAAACACCTTTCACCAATCTTTTTAAAAAAAAACTGCATTTCTTCTCCTAGCTTATATTCTCCTTACAAAGAAACTGTAGAGTTGTTCTATTATAGAGAAGTGTCCATGGAAGGATGTGTACCTGATTCCGACTTGGTGGCCTCTGCCAGCAGCTGCTGCTGCTGTTTCTGCTGCTGGGCCCTCATCTGTTGGAGCTGCTTCCACTTCTGCTCCTGCTCAGCCTCCCAGGCCTGCCGCTGCTCCTTCTGCAGCCTCTGCTGCTGCTCTGTCAGCGCCCGACCCGTGCCACCACCCATCCGACCCATCCCGGGGTTTGGACCCATCCTGGGGAGGCTGGGAGGGATCCCAGGCTGGGTCGGGCTGGGACACATCCCTGGGAGGGATAGGGTCTGGTTCCCCCCTACTCCAGGGTGGTTTGGACTGGACCCCATGGGAGGATGGTTGGGACTCATGGCTGGGTGGTTGGGGCTGGACCCCATGGCTATCTGGTTAGGATTAGGACAGACTACCGGATGGTTGGGACTGGAGACCATACCAGGGTGGCTAGGACTAGACACCATACCGGGGTGACTAGGGCTGGATGCCATTGCTGGATGGTTAGGGCTGGAGCCCATGGGAGGACGGCTTTGGTTGGAGACTATTCCCGGGTGCCCCGGGCTGGATACGATGCCAAGGTTTGGTCCCTGGTTCATCCCCAGGTTGGGGTCACTGGGCTGGCGGGTGAGCGGTGAGGGTGGGGGCATGATGGGCGGGGTCTGTGGCGCGGGGGTGGAGGGGGGAGTGTTGCTGTTGTTGCTCAAGTGTTGCAGACCCTTGTTGGCCAAGCTTTTCATCTTTGCCCGGTTGTCTTTGGCACGCTGGAGGAAGGGCTGCTTCTCCTCAGGGGTAACCTTCCTCCACAGCTTGGCAATGGCTTTGGCTCTGGTAGGCCAATCTGGAGTATAGAAGGCAATCAGAGCTGGTAGACTTCAGACCTCTTTAATCATACTACTGTAAATCACGATTTTTTTTTTGAAGCACTCTTACATTTGCAATTTTTGCAGTCACTTCTGAACCGCAAATTTATCTTTACTGCCAACTCTTTCTTCCACAAACATATAGTTCCGCGAACATGTCCATTTTTCTCAGACCACAAAATTTTGCTACCACGAATCTGTATCGGTATAACCGCCCTTCGGCATATCACACCAGCTTCACAGGCACGCGGCGCAGCGGCAGCTGGCTACATCACACCGAACGACGTGTTACACCTAATCCTTGAACATCTAGCGAGCTCTAAACAGCATAATGCGAAACTGAATCCCTCCAAAATAACTTGACTTTCCCATACCTGGATACTGCTGCTTGAGCTCAGGATGCTGCATGTTGGCGTACAGCACAGCAGAGATGGTGGCGTCATCTCCCAGCTGTTCCTCCTTCTCCCACTTGATGACGTTAAACTGGTTCCTGGTCATCCCCTCGGCGGTCGAACCCTGCTCCCCCTCAGGGGGTGGGGCCCCTCCCGCCGGCCAGGGGCTGGGGGGCTCAAACGAAGGGCTGAACGGGGAACCAAGCTCTCCTCTGTCAATACACAAATGGACGTTAGTTTTACTTACATTGACATTACATCAGTCACTGGTACAAGCTGAAATATCTGACTCCTCATGCAGAGAATTTTTCCTTTTTGTTACTGTACTTCATCCACATGCTCATGTGGAGGTTGACTTTACAGTCTGATTTACATTTAATCATTGCAATCTTATTTCATTTATTTCTTCATATCATCCAAAAATACACATACCAACTACATTTATGTCACCATAATACTAGTATCCTACTGACATAACTCAGCTTAAAACTACATCTAGTAAAAATGACACTGCCTTGAATTTGAGTGTTATCCAAAGTTATGCAGTTTAAATTATAACCTTTTGCTTAGGAATAGAATCGTGCATTGCTGAAGTCTTTGGAAGAAACCATATTAGCCCCACCTGGTGAAATCCTGTGGAAAGCCAGGCTGTGATGGCAGAGGGAACGGGGGACCTCCGATTGGCAGGTTGGTTGGGGGAGGTGGGCGTGGCATGTTGTCGTGGAAACCTGGGTGAGGCTGAGCCATGGGCGGTGCCATGGGGTGGCCCAGGGGAAACCCCGGATCCTGACTTGATGCTGAAATTGAAAAAAATTTCAACATTACAAAAGATTCAGACACAAAATCTTATAATAGTTCTCAAGTCTTAACAAGTTGTGTAATTTACCGGTTAAGTCTATATATCTTGTCAATAAGCTATTTATGTTTACCGAAGGAAAACATTTTTGCCATGTTTCTTCTTCTTCTCCAAAGTGACCTCTGACCTGACTGAACCAGACTGTCTCTCACCATGGTAACTGGTATTGGGTTACATCATATTGAAATTTTATAGTAGGAAGGATTTAGACTCCTGTCATCATATATGTGAATGTGTTTGAGTAAGAATTAACAGAGCAGACCATATGCAATCTTCAAGGTAAACATTATGCATTTGCTTTGCAAATGTGTTACTTCTAGTTTTTCTCAATTTTGCAGTTGAATAAGCCTTTCCCAAGGATACACCATTGGGGCCTGCTAGGGAGTTTTCTGAACCCTGGGACAGAAGGCTTACTTGTAGGAGTTCCAGACAGTCCTTGCGTGGGTGTACCCTGTTGTTCCCTGCTCTCAGGACTCAGAACCTCAGAGAACAAGTCTTCCACATCCTTACTGTCCATTTCTGCCAGACCTGCAGTACATATGTCACATAACATCAATCTGTAGTCTACATTCTGGAAATACAATCATGCTAGAAGTTATATAAATATTTTCAAGCTTTCAAGACAATTAAGCTGCTTCAAGATGTACCAGCCCTATAATATTACATTTGTATAATTTATAATAACCTTTCAAATTCTGATGTTTCTGGTGTTGTACTTTTCAGGGGCAGACTTGGTAGTAGCATGTTAAGATTCAAATATGTAAATAACTTTGCTCAGCCTTCTCCTTTAAACAGAAGTAATGTTTACATACAGGCTTTCTACATTAATTTACAACAATAATCATACAATAAGTAAAAGGAAGTCCAACAAGGTAAACAATCTGTAAGAAACCAGAGTTGTTTGTGCATCCCTTGGATAGTAGAAGAGTCAGAGGGACTAATCTTTGTGCACAATCATATTATTTTAATAGCCATGAAGGGCTTTTAAATTTCTCTGGCTATGATCTATACATGTACATATACATGTTATTCTCCAAAAAGGGCTGAGCCAGGACATAGTGATAGGAGGAAAGAGGTTTTTCAAAAGATAGGTTGTCAAACCCCTTACTATTCAATTCTGTTGGGAATCTATTTAATTTTTTCAGTGTTCTATGGCATAAGATCATTTTGGAATCAGAACCTTGTCGGTGCATGGTGGTGGTGTTGGAAAAAATCTTTGGCTTGCGAAGTTAAAGACCTCGCGAACTCCTGATTGCTTAATCTTGCAAAAAAAGTCCTTGCAAACATAATGAACTTACAGTAATGGAAGATGACACTTTATTCTGGTTAGGCAAAGGGCCAAGCAAAACTGCCCCAAACTTAGAACAATGTGGTGCTAGAAAACAAAGGTGAGCAGTAGTGTGCAGACAACACAGACAAGGGTGATGTTAGTCAAAGGGCAGGTCCCCTACCTTCTGTAACCATTTTATCTAGCGCTGCGGGGCTGAGGATATTTTCAAATTGTGGGTCTAGGTTATTTTCCTTGCTGGGGTCAGACTCGTTTTCCCCGTCACCATTCTGCGAGCCCTGGGAGTTTTCTGTGTGCTCCACGGCTACTGAGTCAAGGTCCAGACCTAGAGAGGGGGGGAGAGAATTCGTGCAGAAGGCTTAGAGGGAGCGAAGAGGCTACCACCACAGATTCAGAAGATGCCACCTTGGTCTTGAAAAAAATAACAGCACTGCAAGGAAGTTTCTATCTCCACATTATGTAGTAGCTATGTTCTAGGGACTAACCGAATATGAATTATGATATTTCACAGTCTAATAAAGGTGACTTTGGGTGCTTTGGCAACTCACAGCAAGCAAGTGTAAGAATCAAGAGAACAAGCATTAACCAAAAAAATCACAGCAACTGAAAAAGTAAGAAAATATTCTTGAGCAACCTATAAAGACTGAACATGCAGCTGAAATGTATCTGCTCCTCCTCTCTGTGCAAACCTCAGATTTCAAAATCTTATAAAACCCTTCACTGCTGTTTTCAAAGCCAAAAATGTTGAACATCAAAATTTTATTGGTTAAAGTAAGGAGAGTTAGATCATCTGTTCAGTAAACAAATGGAATGGTATAATTTTGAATACTCAACTTAAACATTACATTTCTCACTTCAATGACAAACATCATGCACAAGAGCCAATGTTTCAGGTAATATGGGATTTGTGAAAACAACATTTTTGTAAAAGATGAACCTTCTTAGGATCGTTAAACACCTTATGGTACCTACTACACTACCTATTACATCATTGCCTTCAGATTGACTTTTTTTCATCCAAATGATGTTATTGATGATGAAGTTCTAAAACCAGTACCTATGGTGAAAGAATTAGAATCTTGCACTAAGAGTCGTGCACAGTAAATTTGTGGAATGTCTCACCTTCTGTAGCCTTGCCGAGGTCTTCTCCCATCAGGACACTCATAATCTCATCATCGTGTGGCAACTCATGTGGGAGTAGACCTAGGGGATCATCCTCTGTCATCTCTATCTCTCCAGCCTCTCCCATTTCTCCTGAAGTGGAAGGGACAACTTGGTCACACACCTTCACTTCCACATTTTCTAAACAACAGTTTTAGAGCATACATTTGCATCCTGATGCAGTTATTAAGAGTTAATGTTTACATTTAGGACAATTCTTAAAAAGAGTGTCAAAACTCTACAAAAGATCGTCAAAGCACGTTTATAAATACAAAATGTATCTGGAATGCGGTACAGTTGCAGTTATGTTGCAAAATATTGTATACATTTTTCCTTGTACAATCCTTATGTGATGAAGTTATATTATTTTTACTAAGTCCCTGTTATATTTATACCATAAAGTACATATATGTCTATTGTAGGTCTTCTGCATGTCTATTGTATCATGAAAAAAGGAATGACTTCCTAACCATGGTGTGGATGGTCCGTGTGAGGGGGCTGGTTTGCCAGGAATGGTGCCTGCTGGGGTGGTTGCTGCCCTGCAATTCCACCTGGGGCAGGTAGGGGGAACCCTTCCCCACCGGCAGGGTGCACAGGCTGGTGCATCATGGGTCCCTGGGACGTACCACCTCTCTCCTCGTCCGAGGGGGTGTCCAGGTTCACCTGCCCGTCTTTAGTTCGGCTGGTGTCTAACAAACTCTTCCCAAAGAATGCCTCCTGTGGACAAATGGTACATTCCTTCAGGAGAGCTCTTTCAGCATAGCAAAACTGGATTTTTAAAGTCGGGTCCTGTGGGTCGGCCATTGTCCGGGTCAGGGATCGTCTCGTTTTCGTGCGCGCTCGCGAGATCTCGGCAGAGCGAGAATTAACGTGATCTTGATTCGGAAAGTGGACTATTTTCTGGTCATTTTTGTAATGTATCAATCCTATCCCAAAGCCTACTGTGAGGCAAAAATGTGTCACTGACAGAAAACGGTTGCTTCTTTTGTATCGTTGGCTGGCTCTAGCAATTTATGGGCAGTACCCAAAAATAAAGAGGCGCCTCATGTACCTTGTTTTGGGGCTTTTAAATGCTTAAAGTATGAAATGATGATGAAAGGAAGAAAATGTGCTAAGAATTGGCAGTAAGTGTCAGTTTTAGATAGACTTACTCATCCAGATTGAATATTTCTTTGTTTTGCCACCCTGAAATTATACTAACTGCCTTCAACAGTACATACTTGATAGGATATAGTCTATATAAGACACACAACTGGCAGAATTTTCAAAGAGTTAAGGCCACACCAATTTATTTCCTTGGTTAACGGATTCGCCGCTTCGTTTTTTTGCCAAAATGAAATAAAAATAAAAACAGAACAAAAATCCATACTCTCGGGTCCCGAATTGGGGGCCTCAAAATCCACCCGGTACGTTGTAATTTTTCAAAATTTGGGCATAGTTAAGAGCGTTAAAAATACATTGCTTTAAGGCAGAAACATTTTTCTGAGTGCAATTTGTTCGGAAAGCTAGGTTGCCTCTTCAAAAGTTCGTCAAATTCTTTTGATATAGAACTCGCCCCCACCCCCTTTGCACATGTCACCATTCATGGGACAAAACTTCACTGACGACAAACGTACTACGGCAGATTTACAAAGTCATCGTACCTGTAACAACATACCATCTCCCTTTTGGATTTATATTATATTTAGGAACACGTATTGTGTCGGAAACATGTGCTAGTAACGGGCGTTAAAAGTAATCGGCCGAACGTAACTCGGCCTGGGCGGCACATGCACACCCACCTTCAAAACGATCTTTTTTCCAGGGAATATGTAAAAAAATAACACGACATAACAATGTATTCTGGCATCACTAACTGTATTACTCTCAAAAAGTACAAAATCCTACCACAAACATGGGAATTTGGCAAAGTAAAAAGTCCTCCATGCACGTAAGTCCATTCACTAAAGCAACTCTAGAGCTTTCTCACGGTCGGAAGAGTCCACCTCGTGTAGGGGGAAACAGGCCCTTTTAATTATAGAAATTAACGTTACTCTGTGAAAAATACTACATGTGCATGTGGCATTCTAACAAAGTTACATTTTATTTAGATAACTATAAACAAGAGTACAATTGAAAATAATACATCATTACATCTTAATTTTTTTAATAAAATGGTTCCCCCTACAAATAAAAATCCCCATACATCAAAGACTTAATAGTGAAACCCTAGACCATTGAATTTGTGGCAACTTGAAGAGTGTGTCAATGTTTAGTTTAGTGGCTAAATGTGGCTATTTGTTTGAATTATGGCTATTTATAATGTAGCTGTAGCATACATGTACCTAAAGTGTATAATGGGAAATATAAAATGGATACTATTGGGAAAGATAAAAAAAGAAATAAAATATCTGTTAAAATAGTTAATTCTTTTGCCAATAACCTTTAAACATTCCTGGAAATTTGTCTAATTAGTTAAAATTAGTTAAAAGCAAATATTTAGGATATTGTAAATTTCAAGCTCTAAATAACTTCCATATCAGCCAGACACAACAGAATGCCCAGCACAGTGGTAAGCTGTGTGCCCTGAACTCTAAGAAAACAATGGGATCTGAACAGAGCACCCTGATTTAAACCACTCTTTGGAACTTTGAAAGATGAATAAAAGTGAAATCAGTTGGATCGGAGTCTTGTCAACTGACATTTTGTTGTTCGTACAGTAAAGATGTGTATCTTGCAAAATTATACAAATAATTTTTAAGAGATGTAAGAGAAGTTGCTCATGTAGTAATGGTCCTTTCAGTTCAATAAGTGTCCAATATAATGTCTTATATCATTTTGTAACTTAACTTAATGGATTGCTTACTACATGGTTGTAGTCTCACATTTTTATTTTTATTTTTTTTTCGCCCGCCCGCTCCATTTTTTTCTAGAAAAATCCGTTAACCAAGAAATTAAATTGGTGTGGCCTAACTGTTGATTTTAAAAAGAGTGCCTTACAGTATGACCCACCTGTAGATACTCAGGGTATGACTCCTTCAGCCCAGGTTTTCTCTTCCGCTTGCGCTTCGGCCTCACCACTTTTCCTGACAGGGGTCCTTCTGGGGCTGGCACCGCTGGCACAGCAGCTGCTGCAGCTACAGCTACAGCTGGGCCAGCTGCCTCTAACAGCTGCTCCTCCTCAGGGGCATCTGCAAAGTTCCCAGCTGATGGAAGAACATACACCAAAATTACCATTAATAATTACATCAGAAATGGAGTCAATGCTATCTACAATGTATCTGAATCACTTTCCACTAAAAGAAACTTATCACCAAGGTCCAGATCATAACATTACCAAGGGTACATCTACTGGACAGATTTTAGCCTCCACCAGGCCTAAGGAGTTATGGATAGTAAAATTTGGCAGAAAAAGGGCCAATAATGACATGGTCTGTAGAGTGAGCCATAATAAGGGTCACTTTTCCCAAGGCTGATGAACTCTCTGGTGGCCAAACTCCTCAGACCAAATACTCTCCTTATTTTACTCAATTTGACTACTTATCAACCATTGATTGTTAATCTGGTGGAGACTAGACATATGATTGGTTTGGTTTGGTTTTCATTTAATGCCCACGATCATGATAATGATCATTCTGGGATACTCGTTTTCACCTGTGAGGAAAGTCACGTAAAGCACCTTTCCCAAGGGCACAAGGTTGGTGACTTGGATTCGAACCCGGGACACCTCTTGGTTCTGAGCCGAGTGCTCTGCTGTTATGCCACACAACCTCACATATTCTGAGATATATATAGAAAAAAACAATTGTTACCTTCTCCCAGGGAAGCAGGTGGGGCCCTAGCCACTGTTGCCTGTAGACCAGGTGCCATGCCTGTTCTAGGGACGGCTCCTCGCCCCCTCCCCATGAAACTGGGCCTGGTTCTGTGTCTGGCAAAGAAACCACCAATCCCTGCAAAACATACATATTAGAGAAGATGCATTCTTTAGCAATTGCTTATATGATACAGGTGTGTCTCTCCTTAAACATGGGATCTTTGTATCCCTGAATGGAGCCATAAAAGTCTCAACTGGTGTGTCCAAATGTGTACAAACAAACTTCAGTACGAAAAACTTAAGGCCACACTGATTTAGTTTTATGGATGACATCCACGCGTGCATTTATTTTTGCCTGTTCTTCAAAAAACTCCAAGACTGAACCCTGGGTACCATCCTGCATAGTCCATGGTAGCTAGCGACAATATGGAGCCAAGGCCACCATAACAAAGGACACCAAGGCCACTCTACTATCTCTAGAACTCAGTACGGTTCTGACTCATTATATGCTGCACAAAGCCAGCATGTGCCAGCTTGTTGTGAAAATATATAACTGCAAATCCCCAATACCAGCTTTGCATTCCTGTGGTTTAGCAGCATTTTTTTTGCTTGACTTTTTTTTTATTCGCCCACTCGCAATAGTTTTGGGGTCTTCAGAGGATGTCATCCATAAAATTAAGTCAGTGTGGACTAAGAAATAAAGAGGGAGATGGGCAGTGTTGTACCTGGTCTGAGACCTCTCCTGTACTTTCTCTTCTGCTTGGCTCCCCCCTCTCCAGGCTTGGTAGGGTCTGCTGTGGACAGTTCCATGGACTCATCCCCCTGCTCATCTCGGTGGTGCTCAGGACCAGGGTCAAAGTCTGGGTCATTCGCATCTGTCAAACATACAAAATCATGTCACACAAAACCATGCATTTAGGCTATTCCAGTAGCAGGGTTCTCCCAGATAATGGAACAACGGTGCTGCGCCAGGCTACTCCCAGCTCAGCGCCACTATACTGCTTTCCAAATTTATGGTGTTACATTCCGATTTTTCTGGATAATTTCGCTAAAATTAGTGAAAATTTATTGATTTTGGGCCCAAGTGGCGTCCATGTTCCCGTCGGCATTGTCTCTGAAAACTTGTGAATGGGCAATAATCGAGTAAACAATGACCATTTCGCAAAACGCTACAAGAGAATCGCTGTCATTGGTGGAACATCGGGCGCCCTGCTAGCATTTTAAAGTCGTGTAAACAACGCTAATTGTCTGATTTCTTTGTAAACCAAAGAAAATAAGTTATTGTTGTACTTTCACACTACCTTTGCTGTCTCCAGCTTCCCCCTGCTCTAGAGCCTGGGACACCTCAGACTTGGGATCAGCCAGGGAGTGGAGCAGAGACAGGCTGGCCGCGGCCGCCAGTCGTGGTCGCCTTCGCACCCTTTTCTGCTTCGGGGGCGGCGTGATGGACAGACTCTCGATCTGTCTCAACCCCGTCTCTGTCAACAGGACCCCCTCCACCGAAAACTCCTGGGGCGGCCTCGGCTTCGCTTCTAGAACAACAATTTATCATTTATCAGATTTATCACTGTTAAAGGCATCCCAATGCAATTTTAGGGCAGCTAAACCGGAAATATCAGGAATACAGCAATCTGTATGATATTGACACATATTAGCACATTTGCATCAGTATTTCATACATTTTTCTGCATTTGGAACAGTCCAGAAGCAAGCCTCAAGATGAGTCCTTTATTTTCTGGGCGGTACCCAAAAACATCAGTCAAGGATCTTACCAGTCTCCGTTTTCTGTCACAATTTTCAGTATTTTTGCTCCATGACATTAGTGTATATGCATATTCAACTTTGTATGTAGATAAATAACTAGAATATTGACTTTGAAAATCTGGTTTTCAAGCCCCAAAACTGCATGCCATTTTATACTTTTAAAAAGTTAACATTCTATTAGATAAGTTCAGATACATTATATGCCAATATGCTCCAAGAACAGACTTTGTGTTGTGTGTACAAACTGGAAATGATGCCAGCAATGATGTAACCACCACCACATGACACAAGCAGTTTTTTGTAGTCTGAGAATACTGCCTTACTGGTCACTTTAGGATTGTGATTCATTATGACTGACACAGCAGTAACTTACCTGGTTCTGTGATGGCCAGTCTGGTGAATGGGTGGGCTGCTGGTCCCTTGGAGTCTGCAGTGCCACTGTGGACTGAGGTAGGAGGGAGGTGGGCAGGAGAGGGTTGGGTGCGAGGGCGACACATCACACAGTGGTACCCGGCGTCTGCCGCTCTCTCTGCTTCATCTTCTGACTGCATCCCGTCACATTCCGAGTGTAGCCACCTGCAAAGAGGAATCTTTTTGTATCTATTTTTCTCATTTTGCACAAGATAAAAGCAAGAAATTGTAGATCTCATACCTTGTTGCAATATGTATAGTTTTGTGAATTTCTTGCCTGGTCTTTGACAATTTGATCTCTGTAACCCTTGTGTTGGAAATCAAGTTCAACATTTTACTATGATTACTACCAACACAGATGAACTTTCATGTTAGTCAGTGACAGTTAGCCCTACCTTTCACATTGTGAACACTGTATAATCAGCTCTTCGTCATGGTAATTCTGCTGGCAGAGTGGACAGGTGACCATGGCAGCACACGGCCCACACTGGGTGTAGTTATTCTGCCACTTACAGTTGTACCCAGGAGAGGTGGCCCCGCATTGGGTACAACACACACACCTGCAGACAAAATGGCAAGGAAATCACATATCTGAACAAGACATAATACTCAAGTTTTATACAGTAAGTACAAGCTGGGCAAGACCAGACTGTAAGGTTTTATCCACTCATACTGATGGACTCCTACTCTTATCAATATGTGTGGTGTGCTATTCAAGAGGATGCTGCTCACAGAAGCTACATGTAGGTACTCCCTTCTTTCACAACATATAGGAAAATAATATTATACAAAACATAAATACATTGACTACAGTGGCGAAATAATGCAATACACAACATAGGCATCATTCCAGGCACTAGACATCCTATACAAAAATTTCTGTACAAAAATTTCTGGGCATTTGTTCATGGTTAGGAAAGCCGATAGTCAGTGAGTTCAGTGATCTACCTTCATTTCCAACCTAGTAGTGTAAGAAAAGACAGTAACTCACCATTTACATCTCCATCCCCCCTTGGGGACCTTGGTGAGAGGAGGGTCGAGGCAGTAGATGTGGTAACTGACGTCGCAGTCGTCACAGAGAAGCAAGCGCCCCTCGTCACTCGCCTTCCCACAACCCTCACACACCGTACAGTCCAGACACCGCCAGCCCTTCGACAGCACCACCTTAGTGATCTACAAGTAAAACACATGTCAACTCTTCCATTCACACAGGTATCCTAAGACTGCTATATAAAAAAAAATTCTTCTCAAAAAGACCTGGATATCTGAAGTGTGCATTACGTACATTGAAATTACTCTTTAAATAGTCTCCACAAGACTAACAATGCGGGTTCAAAAAAAAAGTAAAATTTAGTTAAGGATAAGTGACTAGGAGAGTTTAGTCAGTGTAGAGTTCACTTGCCTGTGCAGAGGGGGAATTAATTAACCCTCTTGTGAACTGACTTTCCTGGACAACTATTTCTATAGTATTTCTCTTCTTTTATCAAATTCTAGGATCTGTACCCCCGTAGGAAGCCCTAGTGGAGGCTATTGTTTGTGGTCTTACCTTGATGTTTACACAGTAGGGATGGTAGCACTGGCCACACTGTGAGCAGGACAGGAGTCTTCCCTCTGCACCCTGTCCAAAACTACCACAGCTCACACACATGTCCTGGGGAACAACAACAAAATCAGAAAACTCGAATGAACAAAAATTATGTCTAGACGTAAGTCTTTTTCTCTTTAAATTTTATTTATATCATTTTAATTGTGTTGTATTTTAAATAAATTATTCAAAATAAACACATCGTTTAATAGATAAATACTGCAAGTCTTAACAGTACTGTTAGTGTCCTGTCCCTTGTATAATGGTACGGTCCACAAAGTGGTCGGATATTGTAATAACCGACCACTTTTTTCATTATGGCCTGATAACCCATGAGAAATGGAGGCTTCTCACATCACCCGGCAATATGATAATATATATTCCTACACATTTAGGTATCTAGATGAACCAGAGTGACCACAATAACCAAAATATGGTGCACAGCTCCAATTTTTCTGCATACATGTATTATTGTAGGCATTACTTTGTGTGATTTAGTCCTGTGAACTGACCTGCATCAGTGTGAACTTGTCGTCTGTAGAGAACAGCACCACAGTGGTGTGCATGCCCTCATCCTCATCGTTCTTACTACTCTTGCTGGGCTTTTCTGGAGACGGCTCAGTACCAGGTCCTCCCTAACAAAGAACATGAAGGAACATGCTGTTCAGTTGCATTTTCACATAATTCAGGACAACATACAGAAGCCTGTACAAGTGACCATCTCTACAAAAAGACAATTTGGCTAATGTTACCACTTTTTGATGGTCCCTTAGATAATTTTTCTAATGACACATTAAGAAACCTGTCTATACTGACCACCTGTCTACATAGACCATATTTTATCTGGATCCTGAGTGGTCTTCTTGGGCAAACTTTACTGTACATACCAAAAGAGTAACATATAGCATAGAACTGTAATTGAATGAAGAAAAAGTGCTTTAAAAAGTACTTTCATGAGGTATAAACATATATGAGAGGAAAACAGGACTGAATACAACTGAAGGTAATAAATTCATCCTTTTACAACAAAAATGAACTGAATCTAATTGACTCAACAGCTTGGAAAATAATATTTTCAAGTTCTTAGGATGAACCCAATGCAGTCTAAGATGACAAAGTGAATGTAGAGCAGTGAAACCCACCACAGTTCCAGGTAGTGCTACAGTTCCTTGTTTGAACTTCGGCTTGGGTCCCCTCTTGCCAGGTGGTCCAGTGTGCTTCTGCCTCTTTCTGCCAGGAGGCGCTCCTGCACCACGGCCCTGCTAGATTTCGAAAGCAGGGTTAGTTACTATCTCAAAATCACTATATAACTGTATCGTTTGAAGAAATTGTAGACCAATTCTATGGTGGGATAATTAGCCTGATAAGTAGCCTGGGTGCCATCTTCTGTAGTTACCGCCAGCTCCATATTGTTGCTAGCTATCATGGACTACAGAGGATGGACCCAGCCCAGAGCCTCATTCGAGGTGCTTTCTTTTTAAGAACTGGCGAAAATTAATGCGCACGCGGATGTCATCCATAAAATAAAATCCATGAGGCCTTATAGAAAAAATCCTACCCTTGGTCTCCCGGGGCCGAGTTTCCGCTTGCCGAAGGGTTTCCCGCTGCCGTGTTGGATGGGAAGTGGCGCCATGCTGCTCCGAGTTCCCGCGGACGTGGACGCCCCTGACGACTGTATCAAGAGGGCAGACAAAAAAGGAGATGCGGACGTCTTGCTGGCCAGACTATCCGTGGGAACACTACCTAGGGAAGCATACGCTCGCAACATACACGCTTGTGTATACGTCCGTGGTGAGTAATCGTATGGAGGAGGAGGAGGCCGATACTGCTCCGTGAAAAACGACGGCTCCGGTGGATGCCAGAAGTGGGGCTGATACAGAGGGCCTTGCTGTGAAGCCTGGGAGGAGGTTAAACATTGATGGAATGGTTTTGAGTATGCTGTCTGATTTTTTATCACCAAGGGAAGAGAGACAGTAGCCCGGCTCCCAGACTTCACCATGCATGCAGCACCCTTTGTGCCAGCACCTGAACAAGCTGTGGACAAAATGCAACACCACATACAAACAAAAACAGGTAACAAAAAAGGAGGTTTCAAACATAACAAGGACAAAAGCACCACCTCAAAAAATAAAAAAACAACCTCAAAAAAGAAAAAAACAACCTCAAAAAGAAAAAAACAACCTCAAAAAAGAAAAACCAACCTCAAAAAAGAAAAACCTACGCAGAAAAAAAAAATCGAAGCACCAACTTCTATCTGTAATGTAAAGATAGAAAGCAACACCAACTTGACATGACCTTAGCCTATCACCACCGCATCCCAACCACCTAGTCATGACCCAGACTTACCGACATGTCAACATCCATACTAGAAAAACTGTCCTCATTGGTCGACATCAGAGAATCATGGGAGCTCTGCAGGGGGTCCTGGGCTGTTCTCAGCATCTCCATCCCTCCCTCCTTCTTGCCAGCTGCAAAGACAATATCATCCATTGCCTCCCCTGTTGGACAAAACACTCAGCTCAACACACGGCAAACCAAACAGAAGACAACAGAAGAGAGCAACAGAAAACTGAGAGAAGCACGCTCAATACCTACATGTACAGGTCTGCAAAACTGCTTACAATATGCCAAAAGTAAAATCCAGCTAGAATTTTGTACCGGTCTTGATAAAGAACAAAGTAACCAACTAATTTTTCTTATTCAATAAGAATAATGTCATCACAGCTAATAAAAATCCACAAACACATACAAATTTGTATATAACCTCAATACATGGGCCAGTCAGTGTAAGTACAGATCTGAACTACCTGCAAAACCCCACTTGTACCTGCACTAACCGCTATATACAGGCAGTAATTTGAGCACTGCATATGGATATCTTACACAGAACAGATGTTACATAGCATTGAGACATGTGAAAAGGATCTATAGAAGGAACACCAGTTCCAGACATACCCAGGTCTTCCCCTTTGGCGACCATTTCTTCCATTTCTCTCAGCTCGGCTTCCGCCATGGCGGCCTCGGAGCTGGTGACCGTGGAGGAGGAAGACGAGAGGTTTCCCGTGGCGGCGGCGGCGTCTCCCGTGATGGCCTGGGGGGACAGCGAAAGGTAGGGGACCTTTCAGCAGCAGGGAACCAGATAGGGGGGTTAATTCTTTCTTTAGCAATCTTCATCCAGTATAGACATCATGAACAACTACTCACTCAAGAGAGGGGTATGAAAATTTTTCAGAGGGCAAATTGTTTTGGCAAATTTACCATAACTTGAAGCTTGAATGTAGCGATTATATTGAGTTATTAAAACCAATGAGTTCAATGCATGTTGCTAAGTGCTGCAATCGCGGTAGCTTGAGGGTCTACAGTCCTCAAACTTTTGAATATCTTCCTAATCACCTGGCTGATTTTGTCAGCTTGTAGACCCTACTGTTAGCGAAAAATTGTACCTAAAGTCACCGTTGAATTCTAAAGGAAAGGGTCCTCAGAGGGTTTTTAAGAATTTGATCACACTGCGTTCAAGCTTCAAGTTATGTTAGATTTTACAAAAGAAACTGGATTCAAGAATAACAATTTACTTTCTGGCTCTGAGGAATTTTAATACCGACTTCTGAATAAGAGTATCCCTAAAAACTTCGGCAATCTAAAACATTTAATGCATCATTTTTCTAAGTATCAAGTTTTGTATGAAATGTTTTGAAACATTTTTCACCATGCTTTGTCAATGGGATAAAACAGTTTTTCTTTTGAATCGAAATACTTCATTTCCGTATTGGTAGAAGATACTAAAAAATACTGTAGCAGTTTTTTTCTGCCACATGTAATCTTTCCAACTTGTTAAAGATGTAATGACAGTTCTCTGTGAAGTAAAAATGAAGAATGAGATGGAGGGGGGGGTGAGACCATATGGGATCACAAGACCCTGGAAAGTACAATGAAACGGCTGTGTCTCACCTTAAAGTTTTTCCCCTCCTTGCTCTTGCAGAGGGACAGAAACATAACTAGGGTTATCTACCGTACTTAATTCTGACAGAAACAGTTCAAGAACCATTCAATACTAGTTTCCAAGAAAACAAGCACTGAAATTCAGCCTTGTATGTCACGGCTGCCACATATGCTGTTGCTGATATAAATAGACCTACAATAAAAATACATCAAACTCGGGAAAAAAATATTGGTTAGTTTTGGCGTCTTGGTAGGTTGTGTTGTTGAATACAGGAATAAAAGATCTGTTGGTCGTGATATCATGTTTTGTTTGTGATCTCAAAATTTGAAAATGTAGGAATCTTGTTTTTTTTTCACCCTATCGCATTAGACTTGGAGTCTATGGAGGATATCATCCATAAAATTTACTTGCTGTGGCCTGAATGAATAAAAAAAGTGGGCAATGTTCAAAAGGAAGCTGAACTCACATCATGTTTTGCCCTTTTATGCAACATTCTACCTGGTTTAGCAATATATTTCTAAACCAGGGAATAAGGGCGCTGCTCCCTCATGTAACCAGCCTGCACCCCCATATCAATTTTCAGATTGAAGCCTAAGTGGCTACATACACAACATTAAGTCTGTCTCAAAATGATCTTTTTTCCAGTGATAATATAAAAGAAAATATCATAACAATGCATTCTAGCATTACCCTTGTAAAAATTCCAAAATCCTGCACCAAACCCCTTCTCTCCATACTAGTAATCTGCTCTCTCATGCTAAATTTTGCTAGAAAAAAAACGTGTATCTGGCAGATATATTTTGTCTTTGACTATTTGCTTTCCTGGAAACAGTGGGCCAGCAATGCTGTGTAAAGAGCTGAACTCACATCGTTGTCATCCTTATTTTTTGCCCTTTTTGTGTAACATACATGTACTACCTGGCTGTCATACACTTATCTACGTATCTGGTAGATACATTTTGTCTTTGACTATTTGCTTTTCTGAAAACAGTGGGCAATGCTGTCTAAAGAGCTGAACTCACATCGCTGTCATCCTTGTTTTTACACACAGGGCAGAGGTACTCGTAGTGGCACTCTGTCTCCTTCATCTGTTGATACGTTGCCATGTCAACAGAGTCATCACACTCTGCATGAATCCATCTGTCAAAACAAGGGGGGGAAAGGAAGGACAATTTTTAATTTTGGCAGATGGCAGGAATTAGATACAAATCTAGATAGTATTCATAGTGAAATGTTGAACTTTATTCCAACACAGAGATCAAATTTTCAACAACCACTGTCGTCTACACCAGGGTAATTAAAGACCAATCACTTCCGAACACAGACTCGCAATTTAATTTCCTGATGAAGGCGACAGTGGTTGTTGAAAATTTGATCTCTGTGTAATCTTTGTGTTGGAATTAAGTTCAACATCTTACAATGATTACTACCAACACAGATGAACTTTCATGATGACATCAATACTATTTGGGAAAGCGAGAATGAAAAATTCGAGAATGAAATCTTGAAGTCTTACTTTCTGCAGCCATCACACTGTAGCATCTCCTTCTGGGTGAAGTGTCGGTAGGCCTTCCCACACACAGGGCAGTACAGGCCCTTGTTACGCTGCTGGTAACAGCTGTCGCATACTGAGTAGTTCAGGTGCCACCTGGAGCTGGGGCCGCTGCCAGGTGTCCGTGATCCACAGTCGCCACAGACGCGGCAATTCTGGGTGGGAAAACGACAAACTTGATTAAGACCATCTGTCGTACACTGACAGGCAAGGGGCATTTTTTTCTCAGAATTTTTTTTTAAACGAGTTCAAAAACATTTAAATTTCCAATTAAATGACATTAGGGAGACTATGGCACAGAAACAAAAGTTTATCTTTTGATTTTCCAGTTTTCCATTAACTTTTTTGCCATAATCAATACAAATTTTATGGCAAATGACTACCTTATCAGACTGAATGTTACAAAGACTTTTATTTTCAGGCAATAACTGAAAAGCAAAACAAATGCTGAGACAGGGAGGGTAGCTGAAATGCCAGGGATGTCTGCTACACAGGAATCTTTAACACTGAATTGTCCCCTAACAATTCAATCTCTCTCACTAGACTGTCACAAAAAGTGGCCTAAAGACCTTTTCGCCAGACCATCTGGTTTGGAACTGCACTAGAGCCAAGATAGGAAGCATTTCAATGATTGCAACAGTAACCATATTGGGAATAAATCCTGAATTGTTTGGAAAACATACTGAAAGAAGGCAAAAATTTGTGCCCTAATTTTTTTTCGTACAAGAAGTAAGCGTATGACCAGAAGACAAGCAAGCGTCTGAAATTTATATGTCTCTACAAAAATAGCAACAAAAAGAAAGCATATTATCAATTGATGCTTCTTTATGTTTTCTAAAAGCTGTAGAGAAACATTCCATTCCTTTTAGTCTGACTGAGAATGGTATGTACTTGTAGTTTACAAGTACATACAGGGATCAACATACTGCATACATATACACTTGTGCATCCAAACTTAGAACTGTGCACCTACATTTTGTGTAATGTTACCATTGCACACTAGTATACAGCATATTCTTGACATTTCAAGTGCTACAACTAAACAATAGAAAACTGAAATGATCTCACATTTTTGTGTTTAATGCACAAAAATCCAATGTAGGAAAGAAAGAAATCACGACAGCCCTCCACCTTCTACAACTATTCAACTGTACAAGAATACAGCTTCCCAATATCTGTGCTATAATTCTTACATAACATGTACAGACTTATCAAATACATTATCTACATTCAAGATTATACAGGTATACAATACATAATATGGGTACAACGGGTTTGTTAGTTATTGGTTAAGGTTAATATCAATTGGGAGCAGGCATTTGAACTGCATGCATGTAACGTATACAACTCTCAGGTTAGTAAATTCTGTTAATCGTGAAACATTCCAAAACTTCTGCCAGGTTAATTTTCATAATTATGAACGACGTAAAAGAGATAAAATAATTACATAACCATGTGTGTGACGTTCCGTGTTGCAAATTGTGTTTCCATTCGATCTTGCAAAGGTAAACACAATCTAGAGAAATGCAATTTTTCTGCTTATTTCTACTGGTTGCACTATGAGTCTTGAAATCATAGTGGTCTACTTTTTGCTGTGATCTCTGCACTGTGAACTTATATTTGTTTCCAATGTATGGCTAATGTGCTCCAGAATTGAGAATTTAAAATGCTGAAAAACCTTCCTTTTCCCTATTACTAGAGGATAAAGCCAGTGCAAAAGTGAACAACATTTCAGTAATCTAAATTGAAGTCTCTGAGCACAGAAAGTCACACACACAATGGCAGATTAAAAAAGCTAACATAAAGTAAACAGCTGATACCATTGCAAGCTCTGCCGTCCCAATCAATGGGCCTGATTCACTACGGATCAGACAGGTCTACGAGAAAAAGGCAAGATGAGGAAATAAAACATAAGGAGAGAAAACAAGCGAATTTTCGTGCCTCCACCCTCACCAGGGAAAACGTATCGTAGCAAGCAAGCTCAGTGCATTGTTGTCAATAGTACTAGCTTTGAAAGAAGTATGTTATATGTTTCTTGCACCACTACAAGGCAGAGGTGTACATGAGAGTACTTGAAAACATACTAAAGCAACTATAGCGAAATACAACTATGTGAAAAAAGGTTTCACTACATCCCATATCAGACACCTTTTCTTGTTATCTGTTCTAGTTTTTGTAACGTACTACAAATTTTGTGTACAAAATAATTTAGTCATTTTGGTCAAAAAATTTTAACATTTACCAACAGCCAAAAAGTCAATATGAAACTTTTGGTATGTCCAATTTTCAAAATACCACTATCTTTGAATAATGAGAATATTATCAGAAAGAAAATCACTTTGTTGTAGCCATAGGAACAAAGCAGGCAGAACCAAGCTTGCCATGGTAGAGGCAGTCGGTTGCCAGCCTAGAATGCACACCATTAACCACCTATGATAATCTGATAAAAGATTATGTCAGCCCTGTACTAAATTAACTATGCAAAAAATTCTCTCAAGTGCTGCAAGACAAGAAGGTAAAACATGCAGATATGCAAACATTGCAAATACATTCCCAGAACATACATCGCAATGAAATTCATAAACATGGCAAAATCATGCAGGCACACAACACCAGCAGGGAAGGGGGGGAAAGAATCTATCTACTGGATAAGCAATTCTGCAAATAGTCCACAGACAAGTGTAAAACAAGTCACAACAAACAAACAAACAAACACATTCAATTGAAAAAAAAGTCTACAGAGGTTATATAGTTATAGAATACAATATTATATGGCATGCAAGAATTATACTTATTTCTATACACAGAGTATTCAAGGCCCTTATGGACACTTTCCCACACCAGTATCTTCAGAACAAAAAATATTTTCCAGAATATAAGTAGAAGTACATGTTGTTCTTATGATACCAACAGAAGGAATTGACCACCATGGAAAACACAGCAGTTTACAGTAAGAAGACCCTGGGACGCTACCTTGCACTTCCAGCCGTTCTTTGGTATGGTGTTCATGGCTGGCTTCAGACAGAAGGTGTGGTACCCCTTGTCACATGTGTCACACACAAGCATCTTGCTGTCATCCCCTGGTTGCCTAGCAACACAAATAACATTCATGATGATGATGATGATGATGATGATGAAATGGCTTATTGAGGATAAAAACCCTTGCAGCCTTACATAGGCTGAATTGTGGTTCTTTAACAATTCATTCATCTTAGACAACATACTCCAAAATTCTTATCACATAGATTAAACCAGGAATGTACGATCATTCAATATAAAATCAATTGGTGACTACATTTTAAAACGTTTCACTTATAGATAAGCTATTTTATATACATGGAGGCCGCACGGAAATTTACATGTTATCATGTTATCATTCATGACATGACTCAAGAAACTAATTTTCAGGTACAAAACAAACAACTACTTTCTAGAGAATATCACAACTCAATTTGCAGGCTATGCAAGATATTATACTCGTTCTCATTCAAATATGGAAAATGATGTTGCCACTCTTAGTTATGAGCCCCAAATTTCCTACACGTGATTGCACGTTTCACACGAGAAATACACAAGATACACATGAGAATTACACGACTTTTGCACAGCTTTGACACGCGTTTCACACAAAAAATACGCAACTTTCAAACAAGAATTGCACGCATAGGAATGGGAAGTTATACAAGATCCGTACTTAATTCTATACATATTAAAGAGTAAAAAACCTTTTAAAAACCCAGGGACCTCCCTAAACAATGGAGCAGTGGAGCTCCTCCACCCAGTCCTTATCTCAGCTCCACCCTGTTAATTTTCAAAACTAGAGTTTTTACACCCTTTTCCAGGGTTCTTTGGTCAAATTTACCGATATTTCGCACCCTCCTCCATTCTGTCCTAAATTTCTGGGGAGATCCCTGAAACCGATGACCACTACAGAAACCCTTCTTTTAGAAATACAGACAAATTGTTCTATGTTTAGTCTACTTGTATGTATGTACATATTGAGCTGCTATGGGTCAATATACCACAGATTCAGTACAGTTCAATAGTTACCTGCACGTCTGACAGATTTTACACTCTGGGCACTGCCAGCCGGCCCGTACCACTGGGTTGATCTCCACGGGGGGGTCCAGGCAGGTG